ATTTGATGTCGCTGAGTAATGTAACTAGATTTGAGAGTGGAATTGTGGGCAGAATTCAGATTAGGAAAATCTTAGAATAGATACCATGCTAAATAATTGGGACACTTTAGTGGCAGGGAAAACACTGATATTTTAAGGCAACTTGGTATATGAGATACAAGAGGAAAAGATAAGTTCAGAAAGAATGTCACCAAAGCCAACTGCTGAGAAATGTAGTGTTGGTAGGGAGCAAAAAACGCCACCCTGTTATATGCCAATTTGACACAAGCATTGTTTTGGCCTGAAGGCAATTAAAAGAAACAGATATTTGCCAAAAAGCAGGACATAGCTTTTAAAAGGTTTTCTCCCTCTGTTCTGCTCCAAGAAGGACAGAAGTTAATTATCAGAGACAGCACCAAAGGAGCCTACATAATAAAGTTTACTTAATTAGCCTTTATCTTCCATAGTTCCTACGCATATTTATATTCTGACAGTTTACTGTTCAAGAAACTCACAGGATTAATGTGAGCATTATAAAGTAACAATTATAATAACAAAAAGAAAAAAAAGAAACTCAAAGTGCTTTTTCTTTTTGTTAAGATGCTTTATAAATTCAAGTTGCAAGCACTCTTTGATTTACTCATCACTGAATATTCCCATGTATATGCACGATACAAAAGTTAATAAACTTGTTTGTTTTTATTTTGTTAATCTGTCTTGTCAAAAGGGTCCTAGTCAGGAGAATCTAGAAGGGTAGAGGAAAAAAGATTTTTCTTCTACTGGTTGTGAATAGGATCAAATGTGTCAGGTAAGATGAAGACTAAAAAGGATCCATTGTATTTGGAAATAAAAAGGTCATTGGTGCCTTCTGTCTAAGCAGTTTAAATAAAGTGTGAGAACAGAAACTAAAAAGCTGCTATATGCTGATGGAGAGATTCAGAACATGGATACATTTGTTAATGTCCTTTTATCTTAAAACTGAATAATTGACAGCTTGTATCATATTTTGTTTCAAACCTTTAACCTTCAAAAACTAGTTATAACAAATTACATTTATTTCTGTATGGCTCTCCATGGATTTTCCCCTTTCAGATCCCATCCTATTGGTCAATAGCCCACAAAGGATAAAAGGTTCCATACCTCATGCTAAGAAACAGGGCATATTCTCTAGTGAAACTGTCACTGTTTTCCATAACGGCCCCACTTTGCCTATATTCATATCCACTGTAACATTTGAAAAAAATCCATCTCCATTAGCAAATTACTGTTTTAGATAGAACCCACATTGTTGTTGGCTTTTTAAATATTGCTGTGTAGTATTAGAATATCTTAAATATTTATGACATAAGTTTTATGCATAATTGTTTTTCTTTAAGAAGCAGTTTCAAATATTAACATATCTAGCTGTTTGATTACAAACATTTAAAAAAGCCTGCAAGGCTTTTTGTTATTTCTTAGTGTTGGGATTAGATGAGTATGTTTAATATTCTTATTTTTATATAAAAAAACAAAGAAGGTATTTCAAAATATGTAAAGTAAGAAATATCAGATTTTAGTTTTAGTCTTATTTTTCCCAGAAGGGTGGTATATTTTATCTCTATATAACATCAAATTATAGTTTTTAAATGGAAGCTTATTGCTATGTAAATTTCAGACTCTACATTATTAAAGTAGGTTAATTGGTTTGGGTTAAGACTATCTGAGAATTCCTGACCTGAGTATAAATTTAGGGATTTGGAGAGTTTGTAATCTGAATTTTCAAAAGGGAATTGAGAAGGTGAATATATCTCTGAACTTTGAAGTGTAGTCAGCTTCCAATTATCTGCTTGTGCCAGAGACCATCCCCTCCTAGGTGGGAATTTCTCATACTGCTGGGAAGCTGCCATTGCCTGTTTTGGGTAGAAAAGGGTTCCACCCATCTTTTTGGTTTTTAAAGTCACTCTCCCCACCCATGCAGATGGTATGATTGCGTATCATCCATCTTTCAGATGCACTCCTCCTTGCCATTAGCAAGGATAATAAGCAGGTGAGTAGAGGTTAGGTAAATTCTGAGTGACACTGGCATTCTAAAATTGGCTGTAGTATCTACAATTCAAATAGTGCTTATTCTTTATGTTGAAACTAAATTAAAATTATTTTAATAGCCAAATAAGATGGCCTGTGGTTATAGGCATTTACTTAAAATTAATGAGGCACTGATTTCAAACAGTAGCCTAGTGCTTATTTTCATTTAGTTGTTTTTATGTTTATCTGTTTTATTACTTTGAGTTTATTAAATTTCACAGTGCAGCTATAAATCAGGGAGAGAGCAGAACTTTGGGATAAATGGGGTAGCTCTCAGGAGACACAGCCTTGGCTCAGATATGACTTTATGGTGGAATGCAGAAATAGGTGAGTGCTTCAGAGAGAAGTGAAATCTAAACAGAGATTGAAAACAAGATATTCAGGCTGGAAAAGGAGTGGGAATTGAGAAGGAAGAATGTCCAGGAGAGAAAATCATATTTGAAAGCATAGATGCTAGAGAAAGCATAATTTGTTAGTGAAACCAGCTAAAAATAAACCATCACCACAACTACCATCACTAACCAAAGTCCTTTGATGGGAAGATGAACCATGGCAAGAGGAGACTGCAGAATGATTTAAGGGTATACTAGAGAGTCTTTGGGCTTCCCAGATGGGGCTAGTGGTAAAAGAACCCATCTGCAAATGCAGGAGACATAAGAGATGGGGGTTCGATCCCTGGGTCTGGAAGATCCCCTGGAGGAGGACATGGCATGCCACTCCATTATTCTTGCCTGGAGAATCCCATGGACAGAGTAGCCTGGTGGGCTATAGTCCATAGCATTGCAAAGAGTCAGACACAACTGAAGCAAGTTAGCACACACACAAAGAGTTTTAGGCAAGGCAGTGATCAGCCATATTTTACAAATATCAACTTCATATTTTGCAAATATATCAACTTCATATTTTATAAATATCCACACCAATCTGGAACAGATTGATAGGGGGCAGAATTTGACACAGGCTCTCTGGTGAGAAGACTTTTTGCAATAATCCAAGTAAGAGATAATGTTGGCTTGATTAGGGTGATTTGATGAGGAAGGGAAGAAAATGGATGAGCTATTTCTGAGATAATTAATAGTCCTTAGAGATAGGTTAGATAGGTGGAATAGGGGATAGGGAGTAATTGAAGTTGACCTTTCTAATGGGCCAACAGATAGGATGGTGAATCTTCCAAGGAGGATGGGGGATTTGTTTTTCTCCCCTTGACTCTCCTGAGGAGGATGGTATTTATCATTTTTATCCCCATGAATGAATGAAGTGAGACAGGAGAAGGGGAGTTTGGAAACAAGGGAATATTAACTTTGAGAAAGACAACTCATCAAGAAAATGTGGAACCAGAAAGCCAAAGCTGCTTACTACAATGGGCTGTCTTATAAAGACAGACTATAAGTCCATGGATATAGTTTCTTGTAAGAAACATTTGTTTTATTTCTTATAATAGTATATAAATATTATTCCTCAGTGTTCTTCAGACAAATAGTGTTAGATCTGAAAGGAATCTTAGAAATGATAGTTTCTGTCAACTGGTGAGGAAATTGGAGCTCCAAGAGAAGACCACATGATACTTATAGAGTAAGAGAGTGTTAGAATCCAAGTCTCCTAAAGACCACTTCATTACTCTTTCCATAGTACCTAGCCAGCTCCCCATTGATTATTTCATGCTATTAAAATAAATCATTGAAGTGGAAGACTTTATGGAAGAAAAATATCATTATTACAGAAGAAAGGAAAATTGCATAAATAAATAACATTCTTTACTTAACATTTTTTTGCTAGTACAGAATTCTGTTTAAGGTAACCAGGGTTACAGAAATTCAGTCCCTTCTCAGTATTGCCAAGGATTAAAACTCAGGTGATCTGGACTTAGGCTTGGCTTTATTTGTAACAAATAGATGAACTCACTCCACTTCTATAGATCTCTATTTCTGTATCTCAGAAAATGAGATTTCTTTAAAATCCTTTCTATTTTCTGTCTGTATCATTTTATATTTTCTATTACTGGTTGTCTTTACTTTCTTCTTTAAATTGCTTCTTTTTCTCCATGGCAAATAGGAACCTCTTAAAAACCCAAGTAGAATAAATTAGTGACATGTATGTCCTGATGGTCCTGTTTATGGAGTGAATAAAACAGGGCCAGATTTTGTTTTGTTCTGTTAGTAACATATCTCCATATTTACTTTCCTTCTTTGACAAATAGGCCTTGAAATCAGGATGCTAATGCATAAGAGGAAGGTCCTAGAATCTGAAGTATGAGAGTTGGGTATAGGTCAAGTATAATGCTGTGATGTAAATGATGATTCAGTAGTTTTGGAGAGAAAATATTTAGAACATTTTTGTGTTTTTATTTTTAAATTATTTCTTTTCAAAATTCTGCTTTTGTGTATATCATATGACAAATCAATATGTACATGCATATATTTATAAGTGAATATACAATGTGGGATTATATATTCTGAAATTATGCTTAAATATGTTAAGCTAACAGAAGGTTATGGTCAAATAAGTTTTGGAACCATTAGTGAAGAGTTTGCAAAAAATGGTGAGTCACAGATATCAAAATAAATGCTATGTTCTTAATTTCTCATTTTTGGATATCATCCTCTCTGGAAATAAAGAAAAGAAGTCTAAAACGAAGATAACAATAAATAATGTTTTGGTAGTTGAACTTACTTAACTGAGTCTTCTTACTTCTTACAGAGTTGAGAAAAGATATTCTCTCACAAAAGTATTTAATTTTAAGATTAATTTTACTCTTAGCCATGATTTTTTTGGATTAAGTAACTCATATTGAAATTAGCTCAGTATTGTTTAACTTAAACTTTTCAGCTCAAGGTGTAAATACTAGATTGCATTTGTGATTTAAAAAGATTTGGCTAGGATTTTCAAAATCCTACTTCTTCAGTTTTTTTTCCATTTATTGTATCTTATTTTATTTCTTCCTGTTTTTTCCCTCACAGAATAAGACCACAGCTTGCCAAAGAAAGGATTGAAGGATGCCATATTTGTACATCTGTAACGCCTGGAGAGCCTCAAGTCTTCCTAGGCAAGGATAAAGCTTTCACTTTTGATTATGTGTTTGACATTGAATCCCAGCAAGAGCAGATCTACACTCAGTGTATAGAAAAACTAATTGACGGCTGTTTTGAAGGATATAATGCTACAGTTTTTGCTTATGGACAAGTAAGTATCAAATTACTTTCATAGACACTGTAACTTTTCAGAAGTGTTGGTTCAGTTCCACTTTCATTTTTGTTGCTTGAGATGATGTTATTAAGATCAAGCATCCATTTTTCTCCATTCTTTTATTCAGACTGGAGCTGGCAAAACATACACAATGGGAACAGGATTTGATGTTAACATCATTGAGGAAGAACAGGGTATTATTTCTCGTGCTGTTAAACATCTTTTCAAGAGTATTGAAGAAAAAAAACACACTTCCATTAAAAACGGACTTCCTCCTCCAGATTTTAAAGTGAATGCCCAGTTCTTAGAGGTAATGGTTTAACTGTGTCATTAGTTTCCTTTAAGTCTTGTACTTAAGACCGTAGCCCTATGACTTTATAGTCCAGCTTCCATTTTAGTGCTTGGCATATGGTGTTCAATAAATGTTGTTTGAGTAAATTAACATAGGCACTAATAACAAGAGATAATAGGTAATAAGTATTCCTTACTTATTGGCATTTAAGATTATAGATATTTGACCAGCATAACAATTAATATTGTTTATTTCAGATTTTTTTTTCTTTTCTGAGAATTACTTTTGTAATGTAGTTAGGTTCACAAAGTGCTGGGAATTCAGTAACTAAGACCAAAAGGGAGGGAGAGAATATGAGGAATAATACAATTGATGCTGCAGCACTAGTCTGGCTGCAGAAGCTGGTATTACTACAAGGATATACAGGTACTTTAATGCAGTATCTAAAGATTAGGGCAGGTTTGGATTAATTTAGGGCAGTCTAGGCTGGTAGGAAGGTCATGCTAGTAAGAAGACATTGAAGATTTGAGCAGTATTGCAATTGGGTGGACAGTACCATTATAATTCTGTATGCTTGGTCCAACGAGCATTCTAGTCTAATTGTAGTCTAGATCACCTAAGCAAATCACTTTGATCATTGATGAAACATTTTATTCAGCATTATATAGCACAAAATAGAAAACAATTCAAATTAACATCAGTTATCTTCCTGCTAGTTTTAATGGACATTCCAATTTAATAAAAACCAAGAAGAATATAATTATGTGTTTCTACCAAAAGAAAGGTAACTAATGATGGAAAAAGAAAAGAAACTTTTTTTATCTTCCCTTTCACCCTGTAAGTGTTATTAGGCATTATGACTCTAAGCATATTGATAGAAAAATTGGTGTATACATCCTCTTATAAGGTGGTAGGACAATCTCATCAGAGTCTATTGATATATTGCTCATCTTGCAAAAATACTAAGTATTAATTTTTAGATATACTAAGAAGGGTTGTAGGGCCAAAGAAAACATACTTTTAGTTCAAACACTAAAAATTCTTAAAACCTTCCCTAAACTTTCAAGCTTAGGATTTGTCTACATTTGATACATATTTTTCTATAATTTACTTGTATTTATACATATTTATCTCTTGCAGAGGGTTAATGGATCATTTTAGCTAGTCCCTAACTCATTAATCATGATTAAGTCTTTTACTCTTCTTACCCTTGTAAAGAAATCTGGCATTTATTTTTATTTGTGGTCATTTTTATGTGTTATTTTGAATAAATATGTCATTTAGAAGAATTTTTAAGGTATATTTCAAAGATAACATGCAATATGTGTTATTATAGCTGTGAGGTGGTTATGACTAACGTTAAACTTCTTTTAATAGCTATATAATGAAGAGGTTCTTGACTTATTTGATACTACTCGTGATATTGATGCAAAAACTAAAAAATCAAATATAAGGATTCATGAAGATTCAGCTGGAGGAATTTATACTGTGGGCGTCACAACACGTACAGTGAATACAGAATCCGAGGTGACATTTATGTTATAGTTAAAATAGAGCATGTTTGGGGAATTCCCTGGTGGTGCAAGGGTTAGGGCTCTGTACCTCCAGTGCAGAAGGCATGGGTTCTTGCAAGGCATCCTTGCAAGCTTCAAGGCATGGCCAAAGGAAAAAAATAGAGCACATTTGGCTTTATTTAATAGCTTTGCTGCTCACAATATGAAATTTGTATCCTAAAGAGTAGCAGTGAGGTAAAATTTTATCTTCTTCATCATTTTTTCCAGGATTTTATTATTAAAAATGTCATAATTATGATAAAGTCAGTGCATTTATCATAACATCTAAAGAATGTAAAGCCTTGTATGTATAGTTTTCTTTCACACCTAGAAAAAGAGGATTAGATAATTTAAAGTGAAGGATGAGACCACAGCCCTTTGCGCTTTTTGCTATAACATGTGGAGGCTGTGGGGCTTCCCTGGGGGCTCAGTGGTAAAGAATCTGCCTGCAATGCAAGAGACGCAGATTCAGTCCCTGGGAAATTCCATGGACAGAGGAGGAGCCTGGCAGGCTACAGTTCATGGTTGCAATAGAGTCAGACATGACAGTGACTAAACAGCAACATCGTGCAGTCCTGTATGTGGCTCCTAAAGAAAGACTGTTGAGAAAACTCACCCTGGGGTGTTCTGTGGCAGTCCAGTGCTTTGGATTCAGTGCTTTCAGTACCTGGGTCCTGAGTTCAATTCCCGGTGGGGGACAAAGATCTGCAAGTCACTTAGAGTGGTCAAAAAAAAAAAAGTTACAAATAAGAAAATACAGAAGAGCCTGAGTAATTCCAGTTATTGCTTAATTTGTTCCAAAGTGTTTTACTGTAATAGTTTTGAAATAGAAGCTATGGACATCAACAAATGGCAAACAATGGAATCTCAGTGTTTTCTCCTATTTACAAAAACAAACACTATTATACTTTCTGGTCAAAAAGTGCCTGTAAATAAATAATAAGACAATCTACCTCTTGTACATCTTTTAATACGATGAATTTTAACCAGTAGCTCAGACTTATGATTGTGTAGATTTAGTTTAAGCATTGTTCAAGTAAAACCCCTCTTTCTTTCCCTTTTCTAGATGATGCAGTGTTTGAAGCTGGGTGCTTTATCTCGGACAACTGCTAGTACCCAAATGAATGTTCAGAGCTCTCGTTCACATGCCATTTTTACCATTCACTTGTGTCAAACCAGAATGTGTCCTCAAATAGATGCTGTGAGTTAGTTCTAATGTCTTAAACTTTCAGATTTAATTTCTATAAAATCACATGAGTATCAAAGAGAATATTTGTGTCAAATTTAGTTTGTTTAATCATTCCTTTTCCTAATGAGATGTCCCTGGATTTATTTAAGCTAAAGCTGGCCAGCCATATAAAATTTTGAAATTAAAAATTGATTATATGTCTCTAGTAGCCAGAAAGTATGGTGATGGATTAATTACTTGAAACCCTTTGCTTTTGAGGGCTGTATGCTACAAATTTCTCTTCAATATAAGCAAAGCCTTAGTTGATAGCTTTCTTTGATCTAACTTTGTCTAAGGTTCTAGTTGCAACAGGCATTTTATGCTTATATTTATTTGACTACAGGCCTATACTTGTCTATGTGAAAAATGAAGGCAAGATGGGGTTGAAGGATAGATATTTAGTGTCACATTAATAAGGTATTTTCAATTATTTTCCTCAATTACAGGAAAGTGCAACTGATAATAAAGTGATTTCTGAATCATCACAGATGAATGAATTTGAAACTCTGACTGCAAAGTTCCATTTTGTTGATCTGGCAGGTTCAGAAAGACTGAAACGTACTGGAGCTACAGGCGAGAGAGCAAAAGAAGGCATTTCCATCAACTGTGGACTAGTAAGACTAAGACTTTGTGCTGGGAATATATCAGGGTTATTTTATTATCCTTTTCCATTTTATAATATATAATACCCAAGTGGAAATCCTTCATACACTGAGCTGAGAAATGAAAATTGCTGTAAACTTATGAGTAATGCATTGAATTTTGATGTCAGGCTGTCAACTTTTTTCTCCTTTTCACATTGTAAGTTTTCTTCAAGTGTAAAAAATTAGTTGGATTAAGTTTTATGATGTGTGCATAAGATATGTATATATATATATATATATATATATAAAAAATAGAAATGATTTTAAAATTCTCAAATTTAAAAATATACTCTTAATATTAAATATTATATGGGATGACCTTTAAAGTAGTTTTATGCTAACATTTTTATGACAGACTTTATTTTGGAAATTATAATAACATGTTACTTAATAATGATTATTTCAAAATGATAACTTTTCTCATTTTAGGAATTAACTTTAATACCCTGCCATCTAGTGGTGTTTTTGATTGATTGGAAAGCATCTTGTGTTGGAGTTAGCCTAAAGTTCCTATTATGTGAAAGAAAAAGTTCTGAACCAAATTTTTATGTAATAAATCTTTTTTTCTTATTGATTTCATTATAAAAGTGGTTCTTTGTTCCTGCTTAAAAGTAATGGCATTGTAAATTTCTGTGATGCTGACAGCATCAGGACAGGTGTCTTCTGCTTTGCCTTTCTCCCTTTCTTCCTAGAGCAGGGGATCCAAGCATATGGTCCTTTTTTTGGTCATTGCCTAATATTTGCTGTTATGTGATTATAACCCTTCTGTGGGGGAATTATCAATTGAGACTGATTAGAGAGATCCAGCCTTCCCAACCATGCATCCTGATGCTCCCACCATATGGTTGATTATTGTGGTTAGAGGAATGAGTGAGCAGGATCCTGGACTTTGTGTATTGTTTTGAATTTCTTGACATATAAAATCGTGGTATGGTACATTTGTGCTGTTTGGAAAAGACAAAAGCCATTGCTCAGTTTTCTTGTTCAAGCTATTGAAACGTGTTCAGATGTGTGGTAGAGGTTCAGTGTGACCAGTGGCTAAAACTGCAGACTCTAGAAAAGGGGGACTGAGACACAGTGTGATGCTGGTGCCCTCTCTGCAGCATCCATTGGCTCTAACAAAAACACAGTTATAGGCGAGTATGGCAAGCATTTAGGAAAAATACTTATGCTGTAGGTGCTAGTTCAGTGACTAGGAAAAGTAGAAGTAGGTGGCAGGAGGAGTGACTAAAGAGTTCTACAATTTGACTTAATTTCTTAAATATTGGATGCTTATTGCATAGATTCATTGAATTTCTAAGTGCTGCTGGACTTAATAATACTTTATTCAGAGATACCATACTGATATGTTTATTGTGGTTAAAAGAAATTTTTGTTTTCATTTAAGGAAGCTATAGTACAAGAAAGTTCCATGAAATTGTTAAACTAGCAATTTATTTTTTCATTGAGCTGAGGAGAAGAATTTGCAACATGAATTGGCAGTTTTGTGAGAGATACCTCATGATGCTCTGATAATTCTAAGAATGGTTTAGAAGTCATCAATCTTACAACATTCCAATTTCTAAAGAAAACCTCCTCATAGATGTTTTAGTATTTTTGAGTTATGGATATTTATATTGCACTAAATTTTGATTGGTGTCAGTTTTTTAGTAGTTATATAGAAAACTTCAAGTTTACTTCATATTTCAAAATACAAATGTAAAGTAAAACCAAACAGAAGTGGTCTCAATTCTGCCATGTCTTCGTATTATTTTCTATAAGATTTCATCATTTAAAAATGTCATAATTAGTACATTTTTATCATTTTCCTCTCTCTCTTTCTACCTTTTAGTTGGCACTTGGCAATGTAATAAGTGCATTGGGAGATAAGAGCAAGAGGGCAACTCATGTTCCCTATAGAGATTCTAAGCTGACAAGACTACTACAGGACTCTCTTGGGGGCAATAGGTATGCAGAAGTGTTTATCCTCCATACTCCTGGATTTCAGTTATTCATTATTTTTAAAATGTTTGAAAAGTGATTTATAAGAATTGTTTATTATAAAATAAATTAATGAGGAACTAGTAGTTATTAAGTGCCTCAAGTGCATGAGTGCTTTTGCATGTCATTTCACATATTTCTTGTAACATCTCTTGAGGTAGGTATTGTTATTCCTATTTTATAGATAAGAAAATTCAAATTCAGAGAGATTAAGTAATTTATTCAGTCACTTGGCATATGAAATCCTTGGCATACGTTCTCTCTACTATACAGAGTTTCAGTTTTGAGTGCTTGGCACATAGATGCCTAGTAAAATTTTGTTGAAAAATGCTGTCTTCTATGTAATTAAAAAAATAATTTAAATATTATTAATTAAAAAAAAATTATTTATTTATTTTACTTTACAACATTGTATTGGTTTTGCCATACATTGACTTGAATCCGCCATGGGTGTACATGTGTTCCCCATCCTGAACCCCCCTCCCACCTCCCTCCCCACCCCATCCCTCTGGCAAAATATTATTAATTTTTTTACAGTTTTCCTAAAAATTAAACATTTTTTTAAAATTTTAGAAAACTTTAAAAATATTAATTGAATGAAATATAGGGTGTTTGCTGGTTATTAACTTTGCCAGAATCCCTGATATTCCTCCTCTTCTGTACTTTGCATCATCCTGATAACGTTTCATTAGCTAAATGTATTCTTTTGGTAATGCATTCCTCTTTATAAACATCAGCATGTTGGCTTTAAAAGTGAAAACATTTTTGGCATTTAAATTCAGTCTTTGCGTAGTTCAACGTTACATACAAACTGATGCTATAAAACAATTCAGTAATTAAATTTGCCAATTTTCTCTTTGAACAACTATTATTCAAAGAATTTTGATAATGTTGAATTTATTTGGGCTGAGGTTGGATGGATTTGGAAATAACGTTTTGCTTTATAGAATTGAACAGTATCATTTTTATATTGCTTCTTTTGTAATATTGGCATTGGCTTGACTCATCCCTCTTTTAGCATATCCTTTGTATTGCTTCCATTTGTCCATATTTCTTCTGTTCTATATTTTCATTTGACTTTAAATATCAATCTGAATCTTATTGTAACTACACAAAAATTTTTGTTTTTTAAACCAACTATAAATTATTAAAGTTTGCTAAATTGTAGCCTTTTCCAATATTTATTTCTCTACTTTATAGTATATCTTTGTTTTGTACCAAAGAAGAGATACTAAACCTCTTCCCCTTACCAGTGTCAATACTTTTGAATACTTCAGTACTTCTGAGAGTTTGCTTGCCCTGTAATAATCTAAGATATTTGCACTATGGATTTTGAATTCCTCTTGAGGTTTATCCAAGCGACAGCTAAAGAATCTCATATGTTCCTCACCCATTACCCAAGTGGGTGGTAACTCCTTTCTTCTAATCCCATTCTCCTCTGTTCATGGAATTCTCCAGGCAAGAATACTGGAGTGGATAACCATTTCCTTCTCTAGGGGATCTTCCCGACCCAGGGATTGAATCCAGGTCTCCTGTATTACAGGCAGATTCTTTACCATCTGACCATCAGGGAAGCCCAGTCCCATTTTCAGTCACACTCATAAAATTATGAGATTAGTCTCCTCTTTCAAAAGCATCATACTTCGTATAAGCGTTGGAGAACAAAATGCCTTTATTTTGCGATGTTTATACAAATTACTCTTAAAGAAAAATTAGATCAAAGATAATTTGTGGAAACAAATTGCATATATTTATATGAACGATTTGGTCACTTTTTAAAAAAAACCAACCTGGCTTTTATATGTTTATAATGTTTAATACTTTAAGAATTTTATAGCAAAAACTCTGAAAAATATAAAATATGAATAAAAATTAATCATGTTTCTACTACCTATAGGTAACTATTGTTAATATTGTGATACATTTCCTCCCTTATGAATAATATGATATAGTAACATATAAGATAAATAACCTTATTTGTTTATGCCGTACTACATGGCTTATGGGATCTCAGTTCCCTGACAAAGGATTGAACCCAGGCCACATCAGTGAAAGCACTGAATCCTAACCATTAGACCACCAGGGAACTTCCTAATACTGGGTTGCCAAAAGGTTTGTTAATTTTTCCATAAGATGGCTCTAGAAATGCTTGGTTGTCTTTACTTCATTCAAAATAATTTTGTTAGACTGTATCATCATAGCTGTCATATTAGCATGCATTAAAAAAAACTTATCAAAATTAGTGAATTTTTGTGTAGTCATTTTAGTATTGAAGATGGAAGGAAAAAAGCAACATTATTAGCATATTATGCTTTATTATTTCAAGAAAGGTAAATATGCACCTGAAATGCAAAAAACAATTTGTTTCAGTGTATGGAAAAGGTACTGAAACCGATTGAATGTGTCAAAAGTGACTTGATAAGTTTTGTGCTGGAGATTTCTCTCAGGACGATGCTCTATGGTCAGGTAGACTTGTTGAAGTTGATAGTGGTCAAATCAAGATATTAGTTGAGAAAGATCCATGTTAAACCATGCAGCAGATAGCTGACACACTCACAATGTCAAAATCAAGCACCGAAAATCATTTGTACCATCTTGGTTATGTTAATTGCTTTGATGTTTGAGTTCCACATAAGTTATGTGAAAAAACCTTCTTAACCACATTTCTGCATGCAATTCTCTACCTAAACATAATCAAAGTGTTGTTTTAAAAACAAGTTATAATGGGCAGTGAAAAGTGGATAGTGTAAAATGATGTGAAATGGAAGAGACCATGAGGCAAGTGAAATGAACCACCACTAACCACACCAAAGGCCAGTCTTCATTCAAAGAAGGTGATGTTGTGTATATAATGGGATTGGAAGGGAGTCCTTTTTATGAGCTCCTCTGGAAGACCAAGTGATTAATATCAACAAGTACTGCTCCTAACTGAAAGCAGCACTCAAAGAAAAGCATCTGTAATTAGACAACAGAAAATACATAATCTTCCACCAGGATAATGCAAGACCATATGTTTCTATGATGACCAGGCAAAAACTATTATTGCTTTTCTAGGAAGTTCTGGTTCATCCACTATATTCACTGTATATTGAATCTTCAGATTTCCATTTATTTCAATCTTTACAAAATTCTTTTAAAGCAGAAAATTTCAGTTCCCTAGAAGGACTATACAAAGCACCTGGAACTGTTCTTGGCTCAGGAAGATTAAACATTTTGGGAAGGTGGAATTATGAAGTTGCATGAAAAGTAGCAGAAGGTAGTGGAACAAAATGGTGAATATAAAGTTTTTGGTGAAAATGAAAAATGTGTCTTTTAATTTTTACTTAAAAACCAAAGGAACTTTCTGGCCAACCCAATATATTTAAGTTATATGACTTCCTTTAAGACAGTTATGATTTTATATAAAAATAAACCACTTTCCTTTAAAAAACATTTTTCATAAAATTGTTCTTGGAATTTGTGTGTTTTGGGTTTTATTTAATATGTGACCTTTTTCCTATGATAGACGTTAGCTCTTCTCATTCCTAATTTCACCATTCTTAAGCACTTAAACCCAATACTTTTTGTAAAGGAGAGTTCTCTATTCTTTCCACTTCCCAGTTGTGGTGGATTGATATTGTACATGACTGTATTCATCTTATCCCATTATGTGAGTCTGAAAACACTTGAACTGCTATATACGCTATTCAATAAAATGAGTTCATTGATTACAGCAAGTTCAAACGTTGTAAAAGTTTCTAAAATGCTTACTCTCAATTTCTATACTTGTCATGAATTTCCCAGACTGGCACTGGACCAGAGACTACACTTTTGAGTAGCACTGACCTCTAATTAGTATCCATAACCATCACTCTCATTGAATTACCTTATCTTCTTCATCAACAGAGGTGCATGAATTATCTTCTCACTTCAAATAAATAAATATACACAAGATATATGAACAATTATTAGGGACCTAATATGTTCCAAATCCTAATATGTTCCAAACAAATAACGATGACCTAATATGTTCCAAATAGATGGGCAAATACATGGGGAAACAATGGAAACAGTGACAGACTATTATTGGGGGGGCTCTAAAATCACTGCAGATGGTGACCGCAGCCATGAAATTAAAAGACACTTGCTCCTTGAAAGAAAAGCTATGACCAACCTAGGCAGCATATTAAAAAGCAGAGACATTACTTTGCGAACAAAGGTCCTAGTCTAGTCAAAGCTATGGTTTTTCCAGTAGTCATGTATGGATGAGAGAGTTGGACTATAAAGAAGGCTGAGCACCAAAGAATTGATACTTTTGAACTATGGTGTTGGAAAAGACTCTTGAGAGTCCCTTGGACTGCAAAGAGATCAAACCAGTCATTCCTCAAGGAAATCAGTCCTGAATATTCACTAGAAGGACTGATGCTGAAGCCGAAACTCCAATGCTTTGGCCACCTGATGCAAAGAACTGACTCATTTGAAAAGACCCCGATGCTGGGAAAGATTGAAGGCAGGAGGAGAAGGGGACAACAGAGGATGAGAGGGCTGGATGGCATCACCGACTTGATGGACATGAGTTTGAGTAAGCTCTGGGAGTTGGTGATGGACAGGGAGGCCTGGCATCCAATAGTGCATGGGGTCTCAAGGAGTCAGACACAACTGAGCGACTGAACTGAACTGAATATGTTCCAAATATCTTGTTGTATGAAGTAATCTGATGAATAAAAAATATTTGATGATCCTTTTCCTCGGAGTTTAGTATCTAAGAGTGGATCTATAAAATCCTAATAGTCATAATCATAATCCATAAGGAAGAGGCATGCAGAGGGTACGAGGAAGCGGAGAAAAAAGCACAGCCAAGCTCAGGGTTTGGTTCTTAGGCTAGAAGAGATCTAAGTTCAGTCTTGAATAATAGTAAAACTAAGGGTGAGTAAGGATGACCAAGAGTTCACAAAGGAATAGACAGATGGAACGGGACCCTTTTTAAAAGGGTAACACTGGAGGGCTCTCTGCTAAGTGAAATAAGAGACAAATAGTGTATGATATCACTTACATGTGGAATCTAAAAACTACAACAAATTGGTGAATATAACAAAAAAGAAACAGACTTACAGAGAACAAAGTAGTGGTTACCAGTTGTGTGTAGGCGGAGGCAGTAAAAAGATGGGGGAGTGGGAGGTACAAACTGTTGGGTATAAGACAGGCTCAAGGATGTAGTCACTGTAAATGGAAAGTAACCTTTAAAAATTGTGTGAACACTTTTACAAGTTAGGAAAAAACAATGAGACATTACTACATATTCTCTAAAATGAGTAAAAATAAAGCTTGAAAAAAAATAAAAGGGGTACTATGAATGCTTTTTTGAAATTTTCGGGAGAAGGCAGCAATGGAGCAGGAGGGTAGATGGCCATAGATTAGAATTGATAGGTGTAAACTGCAGACCAGCCTGGGTAAGTTACATCCTTAGTTGTTAGCATATAAGTGCCTATTGGCACTGGCACCAGTCGTAGCAGAAGGCAATGGCACCCCACTGCAGTACTCTTGCCTGGAGAATCCCAGGGACGGCGGAGCCTGGTGGGCTGCCGTCTATGGGGTTGCACAGAGTCGGACACGACTGAAGCGACTTAGCAGCAGCAGCAGGAGCAGGTGCCTGTTAGAATTTCCATGTCTGATTCATTGACAGAAATTTCTTAGGCGTAATAAGGATTTTATTATCTTATTCTTTGGTTGATAAAGCAATTCATCATGACTGTAAAATAATGTTTCACATTTTTCCTGTGTAATCTAACTAGAAATTCTGGAACTTTGACCACTCAATCACAACTGTTATTACATATTGTGAAACTTGAGTATACGTTTCTTCAGCAGGTGACAGAATTTTGTGTGAAATATTTTGCTAAGAAAAAGATCGGGATGCAAGTGATTAAAAAAAAGAAAACATTTAAATCCTGAAATATTAAGCAGACAATGAAAGCAATGGGTTTTGAATTTCAACATTTCATAGGCAGATTAAATTTTAGAATTACTCTGTGTATATTGCTTCAAAAATTTTTTGTAAAGAGATGAGAAATAAATGTATGCACTTTTGCTTTCTCAAGGTATTAGGTGTCAAAAAGGGACAATATAAAAAAATCTTTTTCCTTAAGGTAGCATTGAGGCTTTAAAAATTGCTTTTATTTTTATGTTTGGTAATATCAATCTTTTGGTATCTTGAAGAGTAGATATTATTCAAAAGACAGGTATTTAAAATGATTATTTCGGCATTTTATTTGCTTTTATCTGTAAACCTAATTATTTTTTTTTAACTTTCAGCCAAACAATCATGATAGCATGTGTCAGCCCTTCAGACAGAGATTTTATGGAAACTTTAAATACCCTGAAATATGCCAATAGAGCTAGAAATATCAAGAACAAAGTGATGGTCAATCAAGACAGAGCTAGTCAGCAGATCAATGCACTCCGTAGTGAGATCACACGACTTCAGATGGAACTTATGGAGTATAAAACAGTAAGTTAATGATTTTGATTTTGTATTTTGTGTACAGAGTAATACCTTTTTGTGATGGCTTTCACATATGTCTCTGGAGGCTCTTGTCATAATGGTGGCATCTTTCCTTTTAGGGGTGGAATTCTATAGTTTTCTTTGTGGGTAGCCTTTAATAATGTTCAGTCTAACAACTTGATCAGCCTCTTGTTTCAAAAGACTACTTTCTCAATCAACTTCTTTAGTGACAAATGCTCAATGAAGTGATGTAGTAGAGGAAAAAGGAAATCTTTTGCCTTGAGGCTGTTAAGGCAAAAGGGCTCTTGGTTGTAGAATTGCACAGTCCAGCAGTATCCTTTAACAAAACTCTTGTGTAGTTAGAACACCTCAACCAACAAGGAAATAACTTTTCTTTTCTAGGGCAAAAGAATAATTGATGAAGAGGGTGTGGAAAGCATCAATGACATGTTTCATGAGAATGCTATGCTACAGACGGAAAATAACAACCTGCGTGTAAGAATTAAAGCCATGCAAGAGACGGTCGATGCTCTGAGGACCAGAATCACACAGCTTGTTAGTGATCAGGCCAACCAAGTTCTTGTCAGAGCAGGTGTGTGTGTAGGCTGTGGAATGATGAGGGATTACTTCTGGAGCGCAGGAAATATTCTTCATGGAATAGTTGAAGTAAAAATGTCAGTTTCTGTGATTTTTAAGTTAATGTTTAATTTGTAAATAATATGTTCTTATAGAAATGAAATGTGTCTTTGCTTCATCATATTATCTTTCTGCTCATGGAATTAAGGGCAGGAAATTTGCTGTTTAAATTACGTTTCAAAGCATTATTGTTTTTTTCCATAACCTTGTTTTTCTTTTACTCTTTTCTGTTGAATGTTAAAGGAAATTCTTTTTTTTTATTAACTTTTATTGGAGCATATAGTTGATTTACAATGTTGTGTTGGCTTCTGCTATACAGCAAAGTGAATGTTACACATATACATATATTCCCTCATTTTTAGATTTTTATCCTGTATAGGTCATTACAGAGACCTGAGTAGAGTTCCTTGTGCTATACAGTAGGTTCTTATTATCTATTTTTAAATATAGCAGTGTATGTATATATGTCAATGTCCATCTCCCAGTTTATTCTTTCCCCCTTTCCTTATTTTTTTCTTGCAGGTGAAGGGAATGAGGAGATTAGTAATATGATTCATAATTACATTAAAGAAATTGAAGATCTCAGGTATAGTTTATATTCTGCAATATATAATGCACATATTTGGGTTTTGCAGTGAGGTATTATTGCTACTATTTATTTGTTGGGCTTATTTTGTGTAGGGCTTCCCAGGTGGTGCTGGTAATGACCCGCCTGCCACTGCAGGAGACGTGAGATGTGGGTTTGATCCCTGGATCGGGAAGACCCTTTGGAGGAGGGCACGGAAACCCACTCCAGTATTCTTGCCTGGGGAATTACATGGACAGAGGAGCCTGGCTGGCTACAGTCGATAGGGTTGTAACTATTCACAGTGATATTTCAGCTCTTTGGTCAGGTTAACTTTAGGGGAAGGTACTTGCCTATAATGAAACATATGGGAATATAATGTCACAAACTACTTTCTTCTCACATTATCTTCCGGTGTTCTTCTACTGCTCTAGTTGTTATACCCTTAATTGGAAACTTACCAAACCTCATATAAGGATAGGCATAATTGATGTCAATGGAGTTGCCTCCTTGCGCTCCTCATCCTCCCTCTGGGAATACTCAATATCAATAAGTCATCCCTAATTTTTAAAATCTCCCATTACTCCTGTTCCTTTATACTTCCCCAGCAGTCTGAGTGAGTTATTGCGTCCCTATAATTTGCCTGCCCCTGGTACGTATAAAGCTCATTCATCACTCACATTTCACAAACATACAGCAAATACTCCCTGTAGGCCAGGCATCATGCCATGGATTGAACAAGTATGACATAAGCAAGGAGTTCACAGCCTAGGTGGGTCAACTTACATAAATAGTCACATGTAGTAAATGGGATGACCAGAATTGGTAAATGGAACACCCACACCTATTTGGGAATGTGGAGGGGGCCACTGAGCACAGATTGTGAGAATAAAGATCAGAAAGATGATCAAGAACACTAATTATTTCTGTAATATTTTCAGGTTCCATGATTTGCCCTGTTGGCTGAGCTGCTTTCTCTTGGAATAAAACTGCAGTCAGCTTCATCGGGAGCATCTAACTAACTCAGAACTCAGTTCTTCTATCCATATGCAGAAAATAACCATGTGAAAGATCGTCTCTCACAGCTACCCTAACAATTCTCTATCTTGTGTTTGTGTTCTGTTTCCCTTTCTCTTCCTGTGGCTATTTTAGAGATACTTAAACAGAGATGAGTAGTTCTTCTACTGTTTCTGCCTCCATAAGGCACACCAGATCCCTTAAATGCTTCAAAAAGTAAAAGTTGATGAGAAAACATCTGATGTAGCAATAAAGGTATTCAAATTGTTGTTGTTCACTCAGTTACGTCTGACTCTTTGCGACCCTGTGGAGTCCTTCACTATCTCTTGGAGTTTGCTCAAACTCATAGTGAGGTGATGATGCCATCTCATCCTCTGTCACCACCTTCTCCTCTTGCCCTCAATCTTCCCAGTGTCAGGGTCCTTTGCAGTTCGTTGACTCTTCACATCAGTTGGCCAAAGTATTGGAGCTTCAGCATCAATCCTTCCAATGAATATTCAGCGTTGATTTCCTTTAGGATTGACTAGCTTGATCTCCTTGCTGTCCAAGGGACTCTCAAGAGTCTTCTCCAGCACCACAGTTGGAAAGCATCAGTTCTTTGATGCTCAGCCTTCAGACCTTCACATTGATACATGACTACTAGAAAAACCATAACATTGATTATATGGACCTTTGTCAACAAAGTTATGTTTCTACTAAATTTTATAACACCACCTCGGTTTGTCATAGCTTTTCTTCCAAGGAGCAAGTGTCTTTTAATTTCATGGTTGCAGTCACTGTCTGCAGTGATTTTGGAGCCCAAGAAAATAAAGTCTGTCACTGTTTCCTTTTTTCCCCCCATCCATTTGCCATGAAGTGATGGGACTAGATGCCATGATCTTAGTTTTTTGAATGTTGAGTTTGAATTTATTCTGTTTGTATATTTCCAAACTTTACCTTTTTGATGGAGAACTTTGGGGCCTTAGGTTATAGTTCTGTTCAGCAACCCAACCTGGGCTTGTGATTTCCATCTTGCATTGGCAATGATTTTTCCTGCCCACTGCCAAAAAGTTGTTCTCTGACCAGTCCTTCCTGACTCTTTAGAGTCCATCTTTACCATTCCTTCTGACAAAACTAATCTCTTTTAGTTCCTAAAGACTCTTTTCCTGCTCCTATGTGCTTCTCTTTATCTTTTTTTATTTTCTTGGCATTGGTCAGTTGTTAGGCTGATCCATACTCTGGTTCTTGGGCTGCATTTCCTCTCTTCCATCCTGCTATTCTAAGACTGGATCTAAGCTTGATCTCACTATTTGATGAATGGCTTGATTAGTGTCACTATTTCCTAGAAAACTGACTAAATCATATATGTTCCTTCTAGTAGCTAACAGAAGCATCTTATATCTTTTTTTTCCTTTAAGTTCTTGAGTTAAGACTATTCCCTAAGTCATCTAGAGAACAATGATGACTCTTAGGCCTTGAGTTCAGTTGGCGATCAAATCTTTTGTGATATGGGTTAAGAGTTTATTCCACTTTCCCAACTTTTATCTGATGGCTTTTTAATTCAGTTTGTCCCGTTTAGAAGGAGTATTCTTCTACAATCTCAGTACTGTAATTTGTCATGTAAGTGTAACTTACATATGGAATAAACTTAAATAAGCTTTGAATTTATTTATTTATTTTTTAAACATAAAATTATATGTAACATTTTTGTTTTGTTTTGTTTTTCCCATTTATTTTTATTAGTTGGAGGCTAATTACTTTACAATATTGTAGTGGTTTTTGTCATACATTGACCTGAATCAGCCATGGATTTACATGTGTTCCCCATCCCATTCCCCCCTCCCACCATAAACTTTGAATTTAAATTGAGTTACCTGGATTGAATATTTTAAGCTTCTGTTTATTAAGTATATGAACTTGGACAAATTACCTCACATCTTTGATCTTTAGTGTTTGTCTGTAAAAATGAGATAATGCCCACTAGTGTCAAAGAATTTTTGTTGTTATTGTTGTTCAGTCACTAGGTCATTTTCAACTCTTTTCAACCCCATCGACTACAGCTTTCCAGGCTTCCCTGTCCTTCACTGTCTCCCAGAAGTTGCTCAGATTCATGTCCTTTGAATTGGTGATACTATCTAGCCATCTCATGTTCTGTTGCCACCTTATCCTTTATCTTCAATCTTTCCCAGTATCAGAGGGTCTTTTCCAGTGAGTCGGCTCTTTGAATCAGGTGGCCAAAGTATTGGAACTTCAATGTTAGCAGCAGTCCTTCTAGTGAATAATCAGGGTTGCTTTCCTTTGGGATTGATTGGTCTGACCTTCTTGCAGTCCAAGGGATGATCAAGGGTCTTCTCCAGCACCTTAATTCAAAGGCATCACTTCTTCAACTGTCAGCCCTCTTTATGGTCCAGCTGTCATATCCATACATGACTACTGGAAAGACTATAGCATTGACAATATGGAACTTTGCAACTTTGTTGGCAAAGTGATGTCTTTGCTTTTCAATATGCTGTCAAGATTTGTCATAGCTTTTCTTCTAAGGAGCAAGCATCTTTTAATTTCATGGCTGCAGTCACCATCTGCAGTGACTCTGGAGCCCAAGATAATAAAATCTGTCACTGCTTCCACTTTTTCCTCTTCTATTTGCCATGAAGTGATGGGACCAGATGCCATGATCTTAGTTTTTTGAATGTTGAGTTTTAAGCCAGCTTTTTCACCCTCTTCTTTCACTTTCATAAAGAGGCTCTTTAGTTCCTCTTTCCTTTCTGCCATTAGAGTGGTATCATCTCATCTGCATATCTGGGTTTACTGATATTTCTCCTGGCAGTCTTGACTCCAGCTTGTGATTCATTCAGCCAGGCACTCTATGTAGTTCTTCTATGTATTCTTGCCACCTCTTTTTAATCTCTTCTGTTCTGTTAGGTCCTTGCCATTTTTATCTTTTGTTTTACGCATCTTTGTGTGAAATGTTCCCTTGTTATCTCTCATTTTCTTGAAGATGTATCTAGTCTTGCCCATTCTATTGTCTTCCTCCACTCCTTTACACTGTTCCATTAAGAAGGCATTCTTATCTCTCCTTGCCACGCTCAAACTCTACATTCAGCTGGGTATATCTTTCTCTCTTGCTTTTTGCTTCTCTTCTTTCCTCAGCTATGTGTAAAGCTTCCGCAGACACCACTTTATTTTCTTGCATTTCTTTTTCTTTGGGATGGTTTTGGTTACCACCTCCTGTCCAGTACTACGAATGGTAGTTCTTTAGGCACTCAGTCTGCCAGATCTAATCCCTTGAATCTATTCATCACTTCCACTGTGTAATCATAAGGGATTTGATTTAGGTCACACCTGAATGTCCTAGTGGTTTTCCCCACTTTCTTCAACTTAAGCCTGAATTTTGCAATAAGAGCTGATGATCTGAGCCACAGTCAGCTCCAGGCCTTGTTTTTGCTGACTATATAGAGCTTTTCCATCTTCACCTGCAAAGAATATTATCAGTCTGATTTCAGTATTGACCATTTGGTGATGTCCATGTGTAGAGTAGTCTCTTGTGTTGTTGGAAGAGGATGTTTGCTATGACTAGCATGTTATCTTAACAAAACTCTGTTAGCCTTTGCCCTGTTTCATTTTGTACTCCAAGGCCAAACTTGCCTGTTACTTTAGGTATCTCTTGACTTCTTACATTTGCATCCCAATACTCTTTGATGAAAAGGACATCTCTTTTTTGTTTTAGTTATAGAAGTTCTTATAGGTCTTCATAGAACCATTCAACTGTTGCTTCTTTAGCATCAGTGGTTGGATCATAGACTTGGATTATTGTGATTTTGAATGATTTGCCTTGGAAATGAACTGAGATTATTCTGTCGTTTTTGAAACCGCACCCAAGTACTGCATTTCAGATGCTTATGTTGACTATGAGGGGTACTCTGTTTCTTCTGAAGAATTCTTGCCCACAATATAAAGATAATGGTCATCTGAATTAAATTCATCCATTCCCATCCATATTAGTTCACTGATTCCTAAGATATTGATGTTCACTCTTCCCATCTCCTGCTTGACCACATCCAATTTACCTTAATTCATAGACCTAACATTCCTGGTTCCTACGCAATATTGTTCTTTATAGCATTGGACTTTACTTTCCCCACCAGACACATTCACAACTGTGCATCATTTCTACTTTGGCCATGCCTCTTCATTCTTTCTGGAGCTATTAGTAATTGCCCTCTGCTCTTCCCCAGTAGCTCGCTGGCCTCCCTCTGACCTGGGAGGCTCATCTTCCAGTGTGATATCTTTTTGCCTTATCACACTGTTTGTGGAGTTCCTGTGGCAAGAATACTGGAGTGGTCTGCCATTCTCTGGAGGCTCAGTTGGTGGAGAATCTCCCTGCAGTGCACGAGACCCAGGTTTGATCCCTGGGTGGAAAAGACTCCTTGGAGAGGGAAATTGCAATCCACTCCAGTATTCTTTTTTTTATTTTTTTCCACTCCAATATTCTTGACTGGAAAATCTGATGGACAGAGTGGCCTGGTGAGCTACAGTCAATGGGGTCCAAAAGAGTCAGACACGACTTAGTGGCTAAACCACCACTTGTTGTTCCCTTCTCCAGTTGACCACCTTGAGCCATGAACTATGAACCGTGCCTCTTGCGTGGACCTGCACAGTAGGGATCATTGCTTCATTGAGTTACACAAGCCCCTTTGCCATGAAAAAACTGTGATTCATGAAGATGAAAGAATTATTGTGGGGCTCCGATAAAAGGACAGGATGTATAAAATCTTAAACTGAAAAATGCTATAAAGGTCTAACATGTTATTATTATCTAGTTATAAGTTCTCACATTGTGTTTTTATCTTCCAAATTCTACTCTAATCCATATTTTAATCAATAATTTCTCTTAGGAAGGCATTCATTCACAGCTGCTTAATGCAAATTATGTCAATGTATTAGCCCACATGGGAATGTTTATATTTTAAGTCTTATCATTTTAATTATAAAATAGTAACTGGTTACCTTTTAACAAACTTACACATCACATTATTTGTTGTGAAATTATAATAGTCACTAATTAATCCTAGTTTTCTGAGGTTTAAAGTTTTTGTAGAAATTTCTGAAAATATAGGAAAGTATTTAAAAAGTTAAAATCATCCGGAGTCATCGTTCTAAGAAATGATGTTAACATTTTTGTATATCACAAAGGAAAATTTTTTTTTCAGTGCATACTTTTGTAAAATTTTTATCACATTGTATCTATTGCTTTGCTGTCTATTCTTTGAAATATAATAATATACTAGGAGCATTTTAAAGCGCTATTAAATATTTTTTCTAACATGAGTTTTGCAGGGCTCCGTGAGTACTGCCTCATGGTTGTAATTGATTTAACTAAACACCTGCAATCAGATAATTATATTTTTTCAACTTTTCAATAATAGTTACTATTTGTTAAAATATTCCTAGATAAATTTTAAATTGATCGTGTATCATCCTCATAACTATGCTAGAGAAGTATATATTTTCATCTTTTTTATGGAAGAAAAAGTGGAAGCTTTAACAGCATCATCTTTTAGGGTTCAATGAGTGAAAAAGCTGAGATGAGACCGGCAGTTTTCCTCTGTACTTCTCCTTATGCCTCACTGGTTGGTCTCCAATTTAATGAAATGCAGACAATAACAAATGTGTGGGTGGGTGAGTGGAAAGAGAAGAAATTGCAAAGAGAGAGAGGTTATCTCTATAGCCCTCAAAGAAAGCAAGAGTGTGGCCTGGGGTTAGTGGAGTTGCAGGTGAGCCCTAAGGATTTCGGCCTTTATTAGCACCAGGACTGAAGCACTAAAAAAATGCCCTTCCCAAATGCAAACTGTTAAAATCTGGTACTAATAAACAGATTATCTGATTATTATATAAATGAGCCAATTAAAAGCAGGTCATTATTGATACTTAATTTGTATTTTCAGTCATTCTTAGCATTCATTATTTTGTACTCAGGCTCTAGCTAGATATTGAAAATATGAAAAAGTGTAAATTTTGACTTTGAGTTTTTATCATTAAGCTGATAATAATAAGCTTATCATTATTAATATTATTAATATTATTCTTATTAAAAGATAACAGCATTATATTCAGAATTTTCTTTAAACTGATTTTGAAATCATTTAACTTAGAAGTATGTACATTTAACAATTTTAAACATTTAAATTTTAAACAATTTTAAACATTTAAATTTTAAGCTATTTAACATTTTTAAAACATTGTAGCTGTTGCAACACTGGATATAAAGTAAAATAATTTCATTAAACAATGTATAGGACACATAAAATATATTTACTGATTTGTGTGTTCTTTCTCTAGCTGATTTCAGCAGTGTCAGGATTAATTTTGGTAGACAGTGAAAAAGCACAGAGCTGACTGTGTCTTCTAGAGCTCAGTAGCTGCAAATAATCTAGCATCTTCCTCTGAAACATTTGAACTTATGCAAAAGTACATAGTCATATAGTTTTGAGACAGAGATGAGTGCATGCTAGTAGTAACAGGTAGTACTGCTGCTACTGCTAAGTCACTTCCGTCGTGTCCGACTCTGCGACCCCATCCCTGGGATTCTCCAGGCAAGAACACTGGAGTGGGTTGCCATTTCCTTCTCCAATGCATAAAAGTGAAAAGTAGTACTAGTGGGTAGCATTTTCTCCTTATAGCTCTGCCTCAATCACTCTTGGCCTTCCCAGGTAATGCTAGTGGTAAAGAACCTGCCTGGCAATGCAGGAGACATGAGAGGTGGGTTCTATCCCTGGATTGGAAAGATCCCCTGGAGAAGGGCATGGCATCCACTCCAATATTCTTGCCTGAAGAATCCCCTGGACAGAGGAGCCTGATGGGCTACAGTCCATAGGATTGCACAGAGTTGGACATGACCGAAGCAACTTCACATGCCCCCAGTCACCCTTGTGCCAAATTGACCTGGGAAATGTATTATATTGAGGTAGTTAATTGTGTTCATGATGGTTTAAATTAAAATGGACTTAAGGAACTGGCCTAGAGGAGTCTCTGAATCCCTTGTAGTCTCAAGAATCAAGGCTCTTTTAGGATCTCATCTTTCAGTGTTTTTGCGTTTTACTAACAGCACATGCATTATTCTCCTGTCATTGTGAGGACCACTTGAGCAAACAAAAGAATGTTTTCAATTATCAGACTCAGGTTTCCTTGGTGATTTTGTCTTTTCCCGTACCATATTCAGGAACCAGATATCTTTCAGCCAGTTAGGGGTATGTTTGACTAACTCTTTGGAAATGTTATTATAGCATGATGAATAAGGAATGGAAGGAAGGGAACCATGCTGCTTGTACATTTTGTTTAAATGATGGGTTTACAAAGCCAGAATAACAAGTGTCTATTGGCCAGAATGCAAGTGATCTAATTATCACTGGCACTTTTGAGCACAGATTGTTACTTCAAATTTATAATTATTTAATCAGGAAAATTTTAAAAATATCTCAAACACTAATGTTTGTGAACACATTTGTTTAAAAAACTGTACTTTGTAGCAGTGTTGAAATACGTTTTGGGAAATGTTTTAGCTTGCAAAACAGCTCATTTAATGTGTTCTCCATTTATTCCTAGAGTTGTCCAGTTTGCAAAGATAAAAGGTAGAATAGTAGTTTCTGGGGACTGGGAGGAAAGGGGAATGGGAAGTTATAGTGTATTTTATAAAATGGGTACAGAGTTTCAGTTGGAGAAGATGGAAAAGTTCTGAAGGTAGATGGTAGCAGTGGTTATACAACAGTATGGATGTACTTTGTGTGGTAGAACTGTATACTTAAGAGACAGTTAGAGAGGTAAATTTTATTTTATGTATTATGTACCACAGAAATAACATGTTTACAACTGAAATGTATGTTTATTCACTAGGGCAAAATTATTAGAAAGTGAAGCAGTGAATGAGAATCTTCGAAAAAACTTGACAAGAGCCACATCAAGATCACCATATTTCAGCGGATCATCAGCTTTCTCCCCTACTATAATATCCTCAGATAAAGAGACCATTGAGATTATAGACCTAGCTAAGAAAGATTTAGAGAAGCTGAAAAGAAAAGAAAAGAAGAAGAAAAAAAGGTAGTGTTATAAAATCACTTTTATATGAATCTCTATTATTCTCACTTTATGATATTTTAATTTGCAGTTGCAATGAGTATATATAACCTCATATTAAAAAATGAAATGTCATTTAACAGATTATAAGTATATACTTTTAAAGATTTATCTCTTCCTTATATGTAAAAAATTAATTTAATTACAATAATACATAATGAATTTTATTTAGACTATGGCAAGGTAAAATTACTATTAGAAATTATTTTATTATTTCTTCAAATAGCTGCATTTGCATTCCATTCATCTTTTCTGCAAAGCTGATTCTATCATTACTCAGTATTTTCATTTTTTTCCATTTTCTAATGCAGTTAAATAGTCTCATTGATAAATTCTGCTTCCTGTCTAGATTAGTTCAACTAAAGGCTAAATTAATTCATCAGGCTGTCATTTAATGTCATTTGGTCTCTTAAGTATTTTCAGCAGGACTTCTAATTTGGTTATGTCAGAGTTATTTATGTTATTTCAGACTTTCTGACTCTCCCAACAAGGAGTTACTCAGCTTTTCACCACTGTTCTAAGCTTCCTTTCCCTTGCATCCTGGTAGTATCTCCCTCTGAAATCAACTGGATGCAAAGAAGAGGAGGAAAATTAAAATATAACCACTTGTAATGTGTGAGTGGTTAAAACCTCATAAATTGTATACATGTTTACATATTGATTCTATGGTGCAGTCAATTACTTACATAGAATATATTTTAAACATGCTGGTCAAATTAATTTTAAGCATTTTTGGCTAGATATTCCAAAGGGGAATAGGATGTCTTATTTGTTAAATAGCTTGTTATGGAAGTGCACTTTGTAGAATTATTATTGACATTTAATCTAGTGCTACTTTGCTCTGTTTATTTAGACATTTATTTTGGCAACCAGGCATATCTTCCTTGAATAGTCTGTTTACTAAAGTTGTTAAAGGTTCAAACTCTCAGAATTAATTCTGCTGTGTATCCTGGAGTTAAGAAGGGATTATTAGAATAATTAAAACCAGGAATTGCACATCCATGGTCTTAGGAGCATTGTAATTGCAATTGCATCCTTGAGATCCTAATGTCTTAATAGGTATTGCTCATGAGTGGTTGATTATGGCAGCATTAGAAATATATAATGATTAATTTTTATGTAGGGCACCTAAAACTGTAATAGTGTTCACAGAATTATCAAAACTGATGTGACTCAACATACTGTGGAAATGAAAATGAGACCTTTGCATATAACTTATCATTTATTTGTAAAATTCAGTTGTGTAGTTGGTCAAAATGTGAAATGGTATGACTTGTTTTTAAAGGAGTAGGTAGTTTGGGTTCATGAATAGTAAGCAAGGATATATTTCTCAAGGTCATGAGTTGATTCTGCTCTTTCCTTTTGAGGTAAATTTAGAGATGTTACCATAGTCACCTGTTGGGTATGAATAATAATTAATAGGGATCCCATTAGAAACCTAGGCTCTTTTGACATTTTTATAGTGATCATAGGTACCATAAATTAATACCTCTGATGCAGGTTTTTTTTTGTAGCAATGCAAAGCTGTAAGCTTTTTGATTGATAAATATTACTATTTTAGTCAGTTTGATAAAACATTTCATTTATAACCAATAACTTTGAGCTGTATGCATATGTAATATAAATTCTTATTTTAAAAATGTTAGTAAGCTCTCATTTTAGCTAACAGGTCTTTTGTTACGGTTGAAACAAAAATAATAAACAAAGAGGTCCAGAAATGTTTAGAATGATAGCAGCTTTACTGAAGTTAGTGATTAGTCTCTGTAGGAACTCTTTGGAGGCAGTAAGTCCTGTTGAGATGTATTGATTCTGGTTGAGTTGTCTTACATGCTGCATATTTATTTATCAAATAGAGCATTGCAAGATTTGGTGCTACCTCAACTTTGCATATACAGTGAGTTCCATTTAAAATTGTTTGCAATGTGGAACTAATTTTTCTGTAGAAATTGTTACAAATGTATAATGTCCAGATTTCCTAACTCATACACATAAAACAGTATTTATTCATTTTATAGTATAATACGAGCAGTTCAAAAGGGAATAGGAAACGGAAAGTAGCAGAGGTAAAAAATGAGTTTCTGCCTTAGCCAGTCTCTCTTATTCCTACTTACTGACCTCCTGTGTCCCAACGGTGCCTTGATTCATTCCTCCCTTATGAGGTCAGTTCTCATGTAATTCTTCCCTAGCCCAAAGCACTCCCAATTTCAAAATCATCTACTTCTCTCATCTCCTTAAATTCAAAGTTGGAAACAAAGCCATCTGACTAAAGGAACTCATGCCAGTGGAAATGACTTATAACTAATAAGATTCCTCTAGGGAGATTCATAATTTTGAAAGAGAAAACATTAATCCAACTATTGAAAATGTGGGCAGCAATCTCATGAGGAAAAAAAAATTAAATAGTGTAGGGAAGTTGTTTTTTTTTTTTCACACCCCTTTTTGGTGAGAGTTTCCAAAACCTATCTGGAGTTTGGCCTTTGGGTTCAGTTTTGCTCAGCTGTCCAGTTCTCATAGCTGCTTTCGTTTCTCCCACTGAATCTGCAAATCTTTTAGAAGCTCCATGTCTTTTAATTTCCTTTGTCTTGTGTTGTTAGCATTTGGTTGTAGTTACTACAGGACCTCTGACGCTGTAAATGTTGGTTGGAAGAATGGTGACTATATCATTTTTAAGTCAGAAGCTATGTTTGTTCTCAAGGAGTATGCCCCAAATCATACTTTATGTGACTGTTTCACCCTCTTCTGCATCCAAGTTTTTATCTAAACTACAACCAATTGTTAATGTGTGTGGTTTAAAGGTTGGCTTTTCTGCCTTTCTGTGCTTATTTTCTGTTGAACTGTAAAATAATCCAAGTGTAGATAATAAGCAGGTAAGGAAGAATAATTGAATTGACAACATTGCCTGTTTTTATTTTTTAGTTATACAGATGTTAGAATGGTTAGCAAGATTTGTCACAGGCCCCCCACCCCATTTAACTTTGCAAGAAACATAATAATGGAACTAAATGAAATAAAGACCATACTCCTTTAAACTATGGAGAATTATCAGATTATTAGTTTATGTCTCTGCCCCTCTACTATTTTTTGGAACTATTGATTGCAGTTTTTTTTTTTAAAGAAGCAACTGGGAAGGCATCTAAAGTTTACCTGTCTATTAGCTCACATCATCCATATGTTTTAATATAACTCTCTTGTGTAAGGTAAACAAAATTTCTTCATGCTGAAAATAGAAAATTAGAGCTGTTTGACAGGGAACCATATTCTTTGAGCCATTATAGTTCATTATGATCAGTATAAGCCTAAATTAGATTTTTTTTTGCTTTTTTTTTGTGTATATGGATAAATAAAATTTGCCTTTCACACAGTAATCCCCATATTTTGGATATCTAGCTTTAAATGGTTTGCATTATATCAATAAAAAATTCACTCATTCATCAGACTGCATTATGTTTGTATTTAGTGGTGTCAGGTTGAAACTCTAGAAACTCTAGAGATTTCTTAAGCAATGGCTTTTCTTTCCCTTTTTCAGCCATTATACTGAACATTTTGATCCCTGATGAATATCACTCTGCAATTTTTTTTTCTCAGAAAGATTGCTAGTCTCTTCTTGCAATAGCAGTTTATAAGTTGATTATAAAAACAATCACAGACCTGCAAATTAAAATCACATTATAAAATTAAAATGAGAAATGCCTTGATGAAATGCATTACTAAGACTCCATCTATTTATTTAAAAATATTGATGATTCTGAAAAGTATTCTTGAATTGCAGGCAGAAATATACTATGTAAAGATTGCTATATGCTTAATCAGAGCCTAGCACATCTATCTCTATCTTTTTGTCTATATGAGAGAGAATGGGTATTCAGTACATTCCGTTGAGTAAAGATTCCCAATTCTGTGTATTGAATATTCTTTAAACTTCACACTTCTAAATACATATTTATAGTTTTTCTCATAGTTTTCTGGTTAAAACATAATCTTACTAATGAAAAGTACTACATTTCCCATTTTATTGCTGCCTTTGCCTTAGATATAACCTTTTGATAGTCTAGTAATTAGTACAGTGATATTAATTTCAGTTAATAAACTTATAATTTTCCACTGATATCATAACCATTTTCATTTGACCATAATACCATTTCATATATAATTCTGAAATAGAATTTTTAGTGATGGTCATGTGTAGTATATTAAAATATAAGACAAGTTTAAAAATTACTATCCTAGTATATAGTATTAATGGTATTTTCATATTATGGTATAAAGGCATTACTTTTTGAAGCTCCTTAAATGATGCCATAAAAAAGTATTTTGTAAAGGTTTAAAAAGAAGATGATATCATTGAAAGTGAGCTTTTTTTTTTTTTTGGAAGCTGAGAACCTTGATCCATTTCAGGTTAAGAAAAGCAATGGCATCCAAATACTCGTACTATTTATCAGCTTCATAAATTGAGAATGTACATTTTATTGCTGAGTAATTTCAACTGATAGTCTATATACTCTTCTTAGATATAATGCTGCTTGTTTTTCTACTTACTTTTTATTTATACAAAATGTATTGCCTTTTTACTGTGTATTGTCCTTTGATGATATCTTTTAAAATTTATTTTAAAGTCTTCAAGCTCATGTATCATTTTTACCTTCTTATCACTTTCGCTTTTTACTGTCTGGTTTGTCCTTCATTGGCTTGGCCTTCCAATACTGTGCCTCGTGATTTTGAAGGCTACAGAAACTTGAGGAAAGCAATCGAGAAGAAAGAAGGTTGGAATATTTCCCAGGTTTTTTATTAAAATGTCATTTAAATACTTAGTTGGCATTCACAAGGGTATGTGTTGTAGAATTATAGATTATTTCAGACTATATTAGCTTGGTGTTCCTAAAAATAATGATGATTTTATAAAATTAACAAAAACACTGAAAATATAAAAACTACTTTTTGAGAAAAAACCCACACCAGTTATATGAATTAAAATTCAGGCAATTTCATGTGAATTTAGTATAGACTATTATAATTTTTATGGCTAAAAATGACCCAAGAACCCCACCATTAAACTTTTAGAATATATCTTTTGGAAACTTGTGAATAGACAGAATTATTAATTTGGTGGGAACTAACATTTTGTTGCAGCACATGCAACAAGTTATGGGTGGACTCTTTCTCTTCACTTCCTTATTTTATGTATCTTTGTTAGAAAAACAACATTAAAATGGCAACAAGGCAAAAGGAAACTGTGGCCTTGCTACAGACAAGATTTATAAGACATATTTAAGGTTGAATAAGAAAAACAAGTTTTGCTATTTAAATGTATCTAAAGTGAACATCAAAAGCAGGATCTTTTCCTTTTCTTTCCATTTGATATTTGAGCAAAATTTAGAAGCTCACTTTTGAACTCTCAATATAATAAAAATTTGCAGTTTACTCATTTAGTACTATGATTATTTAACTATGTGTCAAGTACTATTTTACTTATTAGAAATTCTCTCTGTTGATTTTACTAAACATCTCATAAATACATCATCAAAATGATTAACATAAACTGATTTTGAAATAATATTAAATATTTTAGAAGCACCACTTTATAAATTTTCTTACTTAAAACAAGCCTTTTGAGAATTTTATTTTGGAACAATTAAGCTAATCTCTTAATTTAAATTGCTGAAACCTTAAAATTATATTTTCTTTAAGTTATTTAATAATCTACATTCCACAATTATATTCTACATATTGTATTCTGTGAAATTCGCTCAGCTGTGTCCAACTCTTTGCGATCCCATGGGCTATACAGTCCGTGGAATTCTCCAGGCCAGAATAGAGGAGTGGCTAGCCTTTCCCTTCTCCAGGGGATCTTCCCAACCCAGGGATCAAACCCAGATCTCCTGCATTGCAGGCAGAATCTTTACTAGCTGAGCCACAAGGGAAGCTTGTATTCTAAAGTTTCTATAATTTATTCTAGAAATTATTAGTATATTCTATAACTAGAACATAATTCTATCTATAAGTCATTTTAGGACTCACCTAATTGATTTATGTTTAGGATATTATGTTTATCACTGGGATTAAATTAGGGCAATAAAATGTGAAAAATTTTCCATTTTGAAAGGTCAAAATAAAATGTGTAGTTAAAGTAGTGTAATAGAACATTTTCCCACCTTCAAGTAGTTAAGTCGTTTAAATGTACTTAATGAACATGGTTTGCTTCTAATATTTATATGATCCCTAATGGATAACAAAAGCAGAGTTATTTGGTGTTTTAGGACAAGGCTTCTTAGACATGAATGTGCATGTAGATAACCTGTGGAGTTTGATAAAGTGAAGACTCTGACTCAGTAGAACTGAGGTGGAGCCTGAGATTCTACATATCTTACAAGCTTCTGGATGATGCTGATGCTTCTCTCTGTGAACCGAACTTTGAGGCAATGTTCTCGAATACTGGCCTTGGAGTCATGACACCTGGTTTTAAGTCCCCTTGAATTGATAAACTTCCCCAGGACAAAGTTTCTTTTTTTTGTTGTCAACAGAGATGTTGACGTTGGTTGTCAAGATGTCAAAGGTTTTAAGTCGTTTGATCACTAGTCTTCCAGCTCAAAGGTTCTGATTCTATGTAGAGTACAAACTTACATATTTTTCGTTGCTGCTTAGACAGTTATTTTAGATATAAAATTTCCCCAGTTTATTGAGGAAAGCTTGAATATTTGCTGTATAATAATCATTAAGTATCAAATGGTACTCTAAAAGCTGAAGCTTTAAGTAATATAGGGTAAATTAATAATGTAAACTTACTGCTGATTTTTCTGCATCAGAATTGGCACAAACAGCTTATACTGTATGAATTAATTTCATATGTCAGTGGAAGTAACATTTGTTGAGCTGGACTCTGGTGTCTTGGAGGAAGTAGGAGGGTGTGTTAGGTCAAGTATATGGAACAAGGTGGTAGTATGGCTATAAACCTGAATAAAAGGAACTTGTGCTGGAACCTGAAGTAACGAAGGAACTGATAATAACAAAAATTGTATGTTGCAACAGTTGCAGATGAGGAAGGGAAACTGCATAGAAGAGGGAGTAAGAAATATCTCCATACACATGCTCTTTTCCTAGCTCCAAGCCTTAGGTCTATCTCAAGTATAGCCCTGCTTGAGTACATGGCGCTGGCCTTTGAGTCAGATGACTGGATGAAGGGGAATTTCTTTCTAAATTTCCATCTTGAAATGCACGATGATGGAAAATCAACATCCTGAGTGATGTATGATAGGCATTCAAGTATGTTCAGCATTTTTCTCTAACAAATGATTTAACAAACTCATGGAAGCTTGTTGTAGCTTGCTTGATTCTTCTCCAGTTAATTGATATTCTTGCTAGTGGTTTCTACTCACTCTAGAGATGTGCTGTATTTCACGCATCTTTATGCATCTTTCAATTTGTACAACTTTACTCCAACATAATTAGTATGGGAGACTCAGCCAGAGGTGCCAAACAGAGATGCTCATGCACAGTCATAGGGATGAATATGTTTAATAAATCCTTCATGTATATTTATTATGCACATACCACAGGTACTGGGTATGTAATGCTGAGCCAAACAGATATGATCCCTACTCTCACGAGACTTACACAGTCTAGTAGGAGATAGAAATTAAAGAAATAACTACCTAAATAAACATAAATTAAGAATTATGAAAATTTTCAAAATTAAGAATTTTCAAAGGAAAAGTATTTATATTCATCTTGTTCTGAGTTCAAAAATGTCTCTGAGAGTTGGGACCTAGAGTTAAACATTAGAGATTGATAATAATAGCAGGACCTACATAAGATTAATTTTTTAGCCTAGAAGCTAAAAATAAGTCCCTGTATTAGGGCAGTTATTTAATGTAGCAGAATATCTGAAAGAAATGATAGCTGTTATAAAGATATTCTGATAAAATTTTTTAACTATTTCTAAGGAAATTTTATTTCAAGAATATTGCTTGATTCAAGTATTCTTTTTATTCTTAATGATTTTAAAATACTAAAGCTCAAGAAGAAAATGTTCACATGTAGATTCATTTGAAATTCATTTTCTTAATATTATTTAGCTTGATAAAAATATATGAGTCTGATGAACAGAAGTATAACTTCTGTGCATAATTGATCATGGTTGCTAAACCAAGAAGGGTCAGAGTGATTTAACTATTTAAAATTTTTTCTTGCTGTGGAGTCTTCTTTTTCTCATGGACACTAGGGCTCAAGTAGTTTAGCTATAACATTATTTGACATCAGTATGCAGTTAGAGCTGTTGTACTGAATCCCGAAAAGGAGACTTTTGTTTGGTTGGTGAATCTTGTGACAGATTCTGGAATTTCCTATTCAGTCAGCAGTCAGATTGACCTTCAGACAGTTTTGATGTGTGGAGATCCATTTCTGTGAGAACATTATGAAAAATAGCCCTGTGGTACAGAGATGACCTGGGAGAAAAGAGCTGGTGCTATTACCAGGGGAAATCTGAAGACAATGACAAATGCCCTCAGGGGAGACAAACCTACCGTGGGCAGATTTACCCTTAAGTGTATTAGGCCATCAATAAAAATGAAGTTTCTGTATCTTTGTATTAAGATGAGAAGACATTTATATATTTAATTGAGAAAACAAAACTATTTTTAATTTCCATTGAAATTAGTTTGCCTGCATTCTAGCTTGTGGAATGTTACTGTGAGTAGTTCTTAGCTGTCTTATCAGGTGTCATGCTCCAGGGTATAATCTATCCTCAGTGTTTCTAGAAAATAAGGTTTTCTCCAATTATATAAATTCACTACACTATGAGTTGAATGGCAGTTTCTATTTTCCTGTGAAGCATCAGACATGATAACTTTGCTCTTTGTTAAATGATGAACTCTTCTCATTTGTTTTCAGAAATAATTGATGGTTTTTAAAAATCTGCAAGGAGAAAAGTAAATAATTTTCCTCTTTAATACTATACATTTTTGTTTCTTTTTTTTGAAGTGTGGCTGGTAAAGAGGATAATATAGAAACTGACCAAGAGAAGAAAGAAGAGAAGAATATTTCAGAAAGAGAAAACATTGAATTAGAAGTTGTAAGTATGAAAGAATGAACCTGGAATTTTGAGTCCCTGGGTTAGGTTATTCTTGGTTGCTGATTACAGTGCTAACTTATATGTAGAAAAGAGAATCCATTATCATGCATCCATTTTAAACTGTTTCCTTGAGGACTTCTTTTCTTCAGAAATGTGAGATATGAAATATTAGCAAATTATAGTCTTGTGCATTTTGAAAACATTTTCTATGGGATAATAGAGTACTAAGAGATAAAGTACTCTTTGATTTAAGACAAGGTTATTATAAAATAACCTTAAAATTGTGTGTTGATTTATTTTAATAGGAAGTGAAATTTTTATGCACTTATACTTTATAATCACACAGTTTCTCTTTTTTGTATTTATTCAGGGAGACTTTATTGCAGATTTTAATATGTGAAGTATCATAATAGAGACAGGGCAAAATTAAATCATACTGCTAGGCACACTCCAAAATGAGGGAAAAAGAAAAATTCTGATTTTGTTTTTTTTGGTTTTTTAAAATTTTCTTTTATTTTTTACTGAAATGTTGTTGCTTTACAATGTTGTTAATTTCTTCTGTACAGCAAAGTGAGTTAGTTATATGTATCCATATATACACTCTTCTTTAGATATCTTTCCTATTTAGGTTGCCATAGATCATTGAGTAGACTTCCATTTGGTATACAGTAGGTTCTCATTAGTTATCTGTTTTATACATAGTAGTATATATATGTTTATCCTTATCATCCAAATCAATCCCACCTCTCCTCACCTTCTTGGTAACCATACATTTGTTCTCTTCATCTGTGATTCCATTTCTGCTTTACAAATAAATTCATTTGTATTATTTTTCTAAATTCCATATAGATGTATTAATATACTACATTTTTTCTTTCTGACTTACTTCACTGCATATGACAATCTCTAGATCCACCCATATCTCTGCAAATGGTACGATTTTGTTCTTTTCTATGACTGAGTAATATGCCATTGTATATATGTACCACATTTTTTTATCCATTCCTCTGTCAATGGACATTTAGATTGTTTCCATGTCATGGCTATTAGATATAGTGTTACAATGAACAGGGAGCATGAATCTTTTTGAACTATGGTTTTCTCCAGATATATCATTAGGAGTGGGATTGGTGGGTCATATGATAACTCTACTGTTAGTTTTTTAAGGAACCTCCATACTGCTCTTCATAGTGCCTGTACCAATTTACATTCCCACCACCAGAATAAGAGAGTTCCCTTTCCTCCACACCTTCTCCAGCATTATTGTTTGTAGATTTTTTTCAAGATGGTCACTCAGACCAGTGTGAGATTTTGCATTTCTCTGATAATTAGTGATGTTGAGCATCTTTTCATGTGTTTGTTGACCTTCTGTATGTCATCTCTGGTGAAATTTCTATTTAGGTCTTCCATCATTTTTGATTGGTTTGTTTGTTTTTTGATATTAATATTTAGCTTCATGAGCTCTTTGTATATTTTAGAGATTAATCCTTTGTCAGTTGCTTCATTTGCAAATATTTTCTCCCATTCTGAGGGCTGTCTTTTTGTTTATGGTTTCCTTTGTTGTGCAAAAGTCTTTAAGTTTAGTTAGGTTTCATTTGTTTATTTTCATTTCTGTTTTCATTAGTCTAGGCAGTTGATTGAAAAAGATCTTGTGATTTATGTCAAGGGTTGTTTTGCCTATATTTTCCTCTAAGTGTTTTATAGTATCTGGCCTTGCATTTAGGTTTTAATCCATTTTGAATTTATATTTGTGTAGAGTGACAGTGAGGGTTCTAATTTCATTCTTCTACATGCAGCAGTCCAGTTTGCCCAGCACCATTTATTGAAGAGACTGTCTTTTCCCCACTGTATATTCTTGTCTCCTTTGTCGTAGATTAAGTGGCTGTAGGTGTGGGTTTATTTCTGAACTTGCGATCCTGTTCCATTGATCTACATGTCTGTTTCTATGCCAGTACCATACTGTTTTGATGACCGTAGCTCTATAGTCAGGAAGTCTGATTGCTCCAGCTCTGTTCTTTCTCAAGGTTACTTTGGGTATTCGAGGTCTTGTGTTTCCATACAAATTGTACAATTTTTTTCTTCTAATTCTGTTGTGTAGTCTCTCTTAATGAGGTAATCAGTTTACTTTGCCAATATTGTGCTATTAATGGGCACACATCACATTTTAGGAAGAAAGTCAAGAAGTGAGTGATCATGAAGATGAGGAAGAAGAAGAGGAGGAGGAAGAAGATGACATTGAAGGGGGTGAAAGCTCTGATGAATCAGATTCTGAATCAGATGAAAAAGGTATTTTTCCTTTGGTGCAAGGACAAAAATTTATTTTGGGAAATTGTTTAAAACATAACAGAAAACTCTTAGCACTCTCCATCTCATCCTTGTATGCCCTCCAAGACTCATGTTTATCTCTTATTGTAGTTAGTCATTATGTGACTTCCATTTTTATTTGGAACCAGTGGTATTTCTTGTCCTTGACCAATGTGAACACTCTTTATCTTGTTGCCAGTTTTCTAGTTTTTGATATATTCAGGATATTTTCCTTACAGCTGCCAAGTGAATACTTGAATGTAGAGATGATTTTCATGCTTTGATTATAGCCTATCCAGTATTTTTATTTTTTTTCTTTTATACTAGCCAATTATCAAGCAGACCTAGCAAACATTACTTGTGAAATTGCAATCAAGCAAAAGCTGATTGATGAACTAGAAAATAGCCAGAAAAGACTGCAGACGCTGAAAAAACAGTATGAAGAGAAGCTAATGATGCTACAACATAAAATTCGGGACACACAGCTTGAAAGAGACCAAGTGCTTCAAAACTTAGGTAAGAATTATATTTAATTCAAATTAAAGTTCACATTAAACTATCACATTGGATTTTTCTCTTTTCTTCCTTTATAGGAAAAAAATTATATTAGAAGTCACATTAAATGGTAATTTATCTTATTATGTTAAATATTACTATTCATTTTGTTTTTTTCGTTCTGATATCTGTCTAGGCTAATTTTTTTTTTCCCCAAAGTTGTGGCTAATTGTTTTAATGCCTTGATTTATGCTGGGAACTTTCTTTAAATTAGAAAGATAAGCATTCAATAGCTGTTAAATAAGAATCAATATTAAAAGAGAGAGTAATTAAAAGACACCTTGGCCTCCTGAGGCTTGTATTTGGGAGATAGTTCTTCTCTAAGGTCATGAATAATATATCTGTAAAATAAATATCTGTATCTCACAAAAACAAATACAAATATTGTTTGGTCATTTAGGCTCAGTGGAATCTTACTCAGAAGAAAAGGCAAAAAAAGTTAGGTCTGAATATGAAAAGAAACTACAAGCCATGAATAAAGAACTTCAGAGACTTCAGGCAGCTCAGAAAGAGCATGCAAGGTTGCTTAAAAATCAGTCCCAATATGAAAAACAATTGAAGAAATTACAGCAGGATGTGATGGAAATGAAGAAAACTAAGGTATTGATTATATTTTCAATTAATGTTTGATGGTAATACTTGTGTCATTTGGGACCAAAAAAATATTGTGGTTCTTTCTGTGTTCTGTATTCTTTCTGTGACCTAGAAATGATGCACTTCCTTTTGGCAGTTAGTGGTTGATTCCTATAGTCATCCATTATCAGAATCTTTCTTTGAAATGGCTGAAAATCATGTGGTCAGTAGGACTTCTCTGACTTTAATGGATATTTATCTTTATTTTCTTAAAACTCTTACACAGATTAGCAAAAGTGAAAATATTTCAAACATGAAAAATGCAGAGATAATAACAATGAATAATATATTCAGTATTTAGTTTAAGGTATTAAATATTACAGATATGTACAAAACCTCCTATATATCCCTTCCTGATCATGGTCTCATTTCCCTTAGAGGTAACAACTATCTTGAATTTGGTGGTTATTGTTCCATGCATAAAAGACTGCAAGTTTTCTTCCCTTGACCTAAGAGAGTATGTGAATTCTTATCTGTTATTGTTTTTGTTTTATAATAGATTATTCTTAACATTTTGCCATGAAAATCAATATCAGTTCAGTTCAGTTCAGTCGCTCAGTCATGTCCTACTCTGCGACCCCATGAATCGCAGCACACCAGGCCTCCCTGTCCATCACCAACTCCCGGAGTTTACTCAAACCCGTGTCCATCGAGTTGGTGATGCCATCCAACGATCTCATCCTCTATCATCCCCTTCTCCTCCTGCCCTCAGTCTTTCCCAGCATCAGGGTCTTCAATGAGTCAGCTTTTTGCATCAGGTGGCCAAAGTATTGGAGCTTCAGCTTCAACATCAGTCCTTCCAATGAACACCCAGGACTGATCTCCTTTAGGATGGACTGGTTGGAGCTCATTGCAGTCCAAGGGACGGACCCTCAAGAATCTTCTCCAACACCACAGTTCAAAAGCATCAATTTTTCAGTGCTCAGCTTTCTTTATAGTCCAACTCTCACATCCAAACATGACCACTAGAAAAGCCATAGCCTTGACTAGATGGACCTTTGTTGACAAAATAATGTCTCTGATTTTTAATATGCTATCTAGGTTGGTCATAACTTTCCTTCCAAGGAGTAAGCATCTTTTAATTTCATGGCTGCAATCACCATCTGCGGTGATTTTGGAGCCCAGAAAATTAAAGTCAGCCACTGTCTCCCCATCTATATATCTGCCATGAAGTGATGGGACTGGATACCATGATCTTAGTTTTCTGAATGTTGAGCTTTAAGCAAACTTTTTCACTCTCCTCTTTCCCCTTCATCAAGATGCTCTTTAGTTCCTCTTCACTTTCTGCCATAAGGGTGGTGTCATCTACATATCTGAGGTTATTGATATTTCTCCTGGCAATCTTGATTCCAGCTTGTGCTTCCTCCAGCCCAGCGTTTCTCATGATGTACTCTGCATATAAGTTAAATAAGCAGGCTGACAATATACAGCCTTGACGTACTCCTTTTCCTATTTGGAACCAGTCTGTTATTCCATGTCCAGTTCTAACTGTTGCTTCCTGACCTGCATACAGATTTCTCAGGAGGCAGGTTAAGTGGTCTGGTATTCCCATCTCTTTCAGAATTTTCCACAGTTTATTGTGATCCATACAGTCAAAGGCTTTGGCATAGTGAATAAAGCAGAAATAGATGTTTTTCTGGAACTCTCTTGCTTTTTCGATGATCCGGCAGATGTTGGCAATTTGATCTCTGGTTCCTTTGCCTTTTCTAAAACCAGCTTGAACATCTGGATGTTCACGGTTCACATATTGCTGATGCCTGGCTTGGAGAATTTTGAGCATTACTTTACTAGTGTGTGAGATGAGTGCAATTGTGTGGTAGTTTGAGCATTTTTTGGCATTGCCTTGCTTTGGGATTGGAATGAAAACTGACCTTTTCCAGTCCTGTGGCCACTGCTGAATTTTCCATATTTGCTGGCATATTGAATGCAGCACTTTCACAGCATCATCTTTCAGGATTTGAAATAGCTCAACTAGAATTCCATCACCTCCACTAGCTTTGTTCGTAGTGATGCTTCCTAAGGCCCACATGAGTTCACATTCCAGGATGTCTGGCTCTAGGTGAGTGATCACACCATCTTGATTATCTGGGTCGTGAGGATCTTTTTTGTACAGTTCTTCTGTGTATTCTTGCCACCTCTTCTTAATATCTTCTGCTTCTGTTAAGTCCCTACCATTTCTGTCCTCTCTTGAGCCCATCTTTGCATGAAATGTTCGTTGGTATCTCTAATTTTCTTGAAGAGATCTCTAGTCTTTCCCATTCTGTTGTTTTCCTCTATTAGATTATTATTAACATTTTGCCATGAAAATCAATATAGTTTCCTTAAAATAGGTAGTGTGGAAATGATTGAAAAAGTAGTTAGGTTGTTATGTTGTATAGTTGCTGTTGCCAGCAACAATAGCTAAAATAACTTAAGTGCTTACTATGTGCCAGGCACTGTAGAGGCACAGTGTTGGTATAAACTCATTGAATTCTTAAAGGAATCCAATCCCGTAGAAATATTACCTCCATTTTATACATTAGAAAACCAAAGCCTGCAGTGGGTAAGTAACTAGTTCAAGGTCACACAGCTACTGATAATAAGTTAAATACCAAAAAATTATTTTAGTAATAAAACACCTGGACATTGAATATAAAAAGCTTAGAACAGTAAGTAATTTTATAGAAGTATTAATATGTTAAAAATGGCTTCCTTGGTAGCTCAGATAATAAAGTGTCTACGTGCAGTGTGAGAGACCTGGGTTCAATCCCTGGGTCAGGAAGATCCCCTGGAGAAGGAAATGGCAACCTACTCTTGTACTCTTGCCTGATAAATTCCGTGGATGGGGCAACCTAGTAGGCTACAGCCCATGGGATCCCAAAGAGTTGGACACAACTGAGCAACTTCATTGGTTCTCTGGATTAATATGTTAGAAGTGTATTCAAAATATAAATACATTAATCTTACAAATATAAGAACTGACCATTTAACGTGTTGCAAAATTCCACTTTTTTTCTTGCTCAGTATTCAGAATCCTAGGAGTATATGTCCATACATATGATTTATTTAATGAATATTGTAAAAGGATAATCACAGTAGATATATTTACCTCATATTTTAGGTTCGCTTGATGAAACAAATGAAGGAAGAACAAGAAAAAGCCCGATTGACAGAATCTAGAAGAAACAGAGAGATTGCTCAACTGAAAAAAGATCAACGTAAAAGAGATGTGAGTGGACTCAGTTATGTAAAAATACTGTATGTCAATAATATTGTTCAATAAAGGGAAGATATTTTTTGATAACTTTATTAAAAAGAGGGACAATAAAGGATTTTTATACATGGCATTTATTATAGTATGTAGATCATAGTAATTCAATATAAAAATTTATGAAAAACAGTATAATATTACTATAAGTTTTATTGGAGGCTTATTTCCTAGATGATCAGATGGAAGAAAATGGCATATAATAAGTGATTATTTCTAGGGAGACCAAGGAAGTAGTTGCAGTAAAATAGTGATTTTTAAGGTGGTTCCAAAGACAGATTCTTATGAATGTTGCTTAACTAATAACCAGACTTCACTAGAAGAGACTTTACTAAGGGCTATACAAATTTTTGTATTCTTTGACCCAAGAATTATGTTTTCATGAACTCAGACTAAGCAAATAATTTAAACTAAGAAAAATTATATTACAGTATGTTAAAATCTTCACTTTTGGTTATTTGTAGTAATGAAAAATGTAAAACCAACTAAGATATGTGACGGTAGGGGTAACAGTTAAATAAATTATAATTCATTCCATTTAATGGGTATTTATTCATCTGTTAAAAATTAGGATTTGGAAACTGCATAGTAAAATGAAAAATGACTATGATTTAACATTAACTGTAAAGTAACATTTTATATATGCATACTTATTTACAATACAGAAAAATTTTTAAAATGCATATCAATATGCTAAATGTCATTGTATTAAGATTATAGGTTATAGTTGATTGGATTTTTTTCTTTCCAAATTTTTGACAATATAGTTATTTATGACAATTTTTTAAAAATAAAGAGCCATCACCTTCTTTACCACAGTATCAATTAGGTTCCAGCCTTTGTTCCATTTTTCTCACCCAACTTTTTCTAAATTCTCCCTGAATAAAACATGAATATACAGGATATTTTAGAAAATAGAAATCTGTTTTGTGAGCTAAAGATAAAATTAGGGAGCTAGAAAATGACTAATTAAATAGAAAAATAGATATGTTAGCAGATGAGTCCCATGTTTATAACTATATGTATTTATTAATTTTCCCAAGATATTAATGCATTTTAATTCTATTTTATGTATTTTAATGTATTTTAAGTCTATTTTATCATTTTTAATACCTGGTGATTTTAGATCTTGTTTATATTAGTACACTGTTACTGAAATCAGGTAGAAGCACACTCTAGCATATGGTCTGTTTTTTTTTCCTGCTTTTTAAAAAATTGATAAAACTCATATGCCAAAAAATTCAGTTTTAAACTATACAGTTCAAGTATGTAGTATGTTCACAGATTTGTACAACAGTCACCACTCCATAACATTTTCATCACTCCGAAAAGAAACCCCAGACCAATTAGCAATTACTCCCATTTCTCTCTTTCCCTTACTCTTGACAGCATCTAATCTACTTCCTGCCTATGTATTTGCCTATTCTAGACATTTTATATACTTGGAATCATACCATATGTAGCCTTTTGTGTCTCGCTTTTTTCATTTAGTATGATATTTTGAAGGTTTATCCATGTTATAGCATATATCACTAGTACATTTTTTTTTTAAATGACTATATGTACAGAGCACATTTTGCTAATCCATTCTTCAATTGGGCATTTTGGTTTTTTTGACTTTTAGGCTATTTATTTCATTTTTAATGAAATTTTTGGATGACAAGCATGATTTCCTTGCAGTGTATGCTAACTACTTCTATATTACTAAGTTAGACACAACGATTAAACAACAACATATGATATATAGAGAGATCAATATTGAACAATTAATTCCCAGGACTGAACTTTTGAATTTTATCCACACATATGATGTCTCTCTTCTGGCTAATCACATAAAAAGCTACTATTTCAGACTTTTTCCTCCCTTTAATTTGTTGCTTTGTGTGCATATTCAACTCCTGTCTAAAGTGTTTCTTGTAATACTCAATTGAACCCTTAGAGAACCAAATATGTTGTGTACATCATACAAAAATTATGAATGAGCTTGAGATTTGATTTTTAATATGAAGAAATTAAATTTAGTAACAAGCTTGAAACTATAGGTTAATTTTAGTTTTAGATAGTTCATTAATTTAAAAAGATTTATTAGCTTTTCTTCCATGTCTATTACTGTATAGGCAAGATGTGGCAGTGATAAGACAGAGTCCTTTTCTCAACGAATTCCTATCTGTTAAGATAAGAATATGTATAAACTTGAGATGGATCCTCTGTTTGAATTTGGGATGCACAGCATAGAGAGTTATTTGTTACATCACAGAGTTAAAGTCCTAAAAGAGATGTTTGTGATCAAATCCAACTCCAAAGCTTTGCCCATGATCACAGAGTTAAATCAATGACAGAACCAGAACATGTTTTATTTTTAGTCCAAAATTATTTCCTAAATTATATCCCTATAAAATGGCTTAGAGTAATTAATAATTTTCTGTATCATATAGACTACCTAGAAACAAATTGGTAGCCAGTTAATTTTATTGACCAACATAGTATTTCCAAAGTTATTATAAAGTGCTAATACAATTGATATATGTTCTCTCTATATTTAAACCAGAGTTTATAATTGTATACCTTGTAAGGTGCCTCTATTGAAAATATTCTAAGCAGTGTTTCTTCCTGTTCATGCCTCAGCCAGCCGCCAAAACAAAAATAAGATATTTGTGAAGTGTTTAGGAGGATACTTGCATATAATAAGCCCTTTATTGCTACTGTGTTGCGTTTAGTCGCTCAGTCGACTTTGTGATCCCATGGACCGCAGCCCACCAGGCTCCTCTGTCCATGGGATTCTCCAGGCAAGAATACTGGAGTGGGTTGCCATGCCCTCTTCCAGGGCACCTTCCTGACTCAAGGATAGAACTTGTGTCTCTTTATGTCTCCTGCCGTGGGAGGTGGGTTCTTTAACTCTAGTGCCACCTGTGAAGTCCATAGTAATGAGTGCAAGGTGATTATTAGCTCAGATGCTGCTGAGAATGCTTACGGTTCCCAGTGAAATGGGACAATGATAATGAAGAAGTAAAAAGTATTTTATCTTTCAGTTTACTATTTTAACTTATTCAATGTTATTTTATAGCATCAACTTAGACTTCTGGAAGCCCAAAAAAGAAACCAAGAAGTGGTTCTTCGTCGCAAAACAGAAGAGGCAAGTTGACCGTTTGGAGGAAACATTCTGGCTTTGAAATAAATGATATATTTCTATAGACTGAGAGAATGAGTCAGTCTCCATTGCTATTTCAGGTTACAGCTCTTCGCCGGCAAGTAAGGCCCATGTCAGATAAAGTGGCTGGGAAAGTCACTCGGAAGTTGAGCTCATCTGATACTCCTGTTCAGGACACAGGTTCCAGTGCAGCTGCTGTAGAAACAGATGCATTAAGAGCTGGAGCCCAGCAAAAAATGAGAATTCCTGTGGCAAGAGTCCAGGCCTTACCAACACCCACAGCAAATGGAACCAGGTAAGCATGTTCTTCTGTTCCTCCTGATGTAATCTTTACATCACTGGATGTTGGACTTAAATGAAAAACAACTCATCATTTGGCATCATATAATCAAACAAGCACATAAGTAACTATGTTTGTATGTTTTTTATATGATTATAGAAAAAAATACCAAAGGAAAGGATTGACTGGCCGAGTGTTTACTTCTAAAACAGCTCGCATGAAGTGGCAGCTTCTTGAACGCAGGGTCACAGACATCATCATGCAGAAAATGACTATTTCCAATATGGAGGCTGATATGAATAGGCTGCTCAAGGTGTGAAAAGTAGAAAGTAGATTTGCTCTCTCTTAGCTGTTAATTTCTGTTTTCTACATTTGTTTGCTGAGTAAATTGAATACTTGCCAAGCTGTGTTTTTTGGGGAGTGGTGATTGTGTTGTGTATGAATAGATGAACATCATTTTTTTTTAATTGTAGTAAGAACAGATGCCATGAGATCTACCCTCTTAATACATTTTAAAATGTATAGCACAGTGTTGACAGCTATAAGTACAATGTTGTAAAGAATTCTATAACTTACTCATCTTATATAATTTAAACTTTATATCCACTGAACAACAACTCCCCATTTCCTCTTCCTCCCAATCCCTGGTAACCCCATTCTATTTACTGCTTCTATGAGTTTGACTATTTAGATGCTTCCCAGAAGTGGGATCCTGCAGTATTTACCCCTTCTATAACTCACTTATTTCATTTGGCATAAAGTTCTCAAGGTCCAAGATGAACATAATTTCTTAAAGTCTACTCTGTTTTCTCAATAGCAACGGGAAGAACTCACAAAAAGACGAGAGAAACTTTCAAAGAGAAGGGAAAAGATAGTCAAAGAGACTGGAGAAGGAGATAAAAATGTGATTAACATCAATGAGGAGATGGAGTCATTAACTGCTAATATAGATTATATCAATGACAGTATTTCTGATTGTCAAGCTAATATCATGCAGATGGAAGAAGCAAAGGTTTGTAACTTAGAATAAATGTTTAATGAGAAGTATTTTTGTATTTTTGTCATTAAAAGCACTTTGAATTTTTATATGCAGGGATTTTTTAATCTATGATTTAATATAATTCTTAGGTTTTGCATGTATACCCTTCCTGCCTGCTTTCTAGATTTCTCTGCTGATTGTGTGATGTTATTTTTCACTGATAAAACATATATTATCATTTGTTAATCCATCTTGAATTCATAACTGCTCAAATGTCTTATGTTTTAAACTAGACCATATGTTTCTTAGAGTAGGGATTTTTTTATGCTTTTCTGAGAAGTCTCATTAGCTAATCCAATAATATCAAATAAATGCATGAAGCAGTAGGGTTTGTCTTCTGTTAAATACATTCAGCTCAAGGTAATGATACATCATATGCTGGTTTGATGCAGGAAGAAGGAGAAACATTGGATGTCACTGCAGTCATTAATGCTTGCACACTTACAGAAGCTCGATACCTTCTAGATCACTTCCTGTCAATGGGCATCAATAAGGTAAGATCTAACTACACTATTATTGAAAAACCTAAGCTTCCGTTAATTCATTACAGTTTTGTCTATCTTTTTCTAATGACCCTTTCCTTTGTAATAAGCAGGAAGATTCTTTTACAATGAAACCTGTTCCTTTTATCTTTCTTTAGAGTTAAGAAAGGTCAGCAGTATTTACATCAATTCCATTAGCTTCTCATCTATTGTGCTTGTGTATTAGAACAGGTAAACAACTTAAAGAATAATTTCTTTTTTGCTTCAACAAAGGAAAAGGTAAAAGGAAAATCTCTTAGTGTGCAAACAAATTCAGTGTTATAATTTTGATTTAATAATGATTCTTTACAACTCAAAAAGTCAGGAAAAAATACAGTTGCACTCTCCTTATCTTAAGTAATTTCTGCTTAAATGTTAAAGATGCTAATGATTTCTGACTCACCCTTTTTCTCCACACTGAGAGTGTGCTATACCTTTAGTTTTGTTCTCTTGCTTAATCCTTACAATGTGCGTGAAATAAATATTATTTGTGTTATTTTGAATATGAGGAAACTGAGAATCAGGAAGACTCTGATACTAATCAGGAAGATTCCTTTGATACTAATAGCTAGCCAACACTTGCTCAGGGTCACTGAGTTTGCAAGCATAAGAGCTAGGATGAATCAAGGTCTATCTAATGTCAAAGTCTGTACATCATATGCATTTGCTATTTGATACAGATCTTCATGTAGTTGATTCTGTTTGTGTGATCTAAGATACACCTTTTTTTCTGGGGGGGAATGTTATAGGGTCTTCAGGCTGCCCAGAAAGAGGCTCAAATTAAAGTACTTGAAGGTCGGCTTAAACAAACTGAAATAACCAGTGCTACACAAAACCAGCTCTTATTCCATATGTTGAAAGAGAAAGCAGAATTAAATCCTGAGCTAGATGCTTTACTAGGCCATGCTTTACAAGGTAATTTGGATTAAATCTTAGTTAAATAAATTGCATGGTAACTTTGCTCTTTGAGTATGCTGTACTCTACCTCTTTCCTCTATAGCTTGACTGAATAGATGCTGTATTTACTTATGCTTTTTAATTATTCCTTTTTTAATTTGCATGTATAAATTTGGGGGGATGTAATTATTGTCATTACAAGAAATGATTAGTAACTTAAAAATCCTTACTTAGCATTATTAAACAAATAATTTTTATGAATTAAAAAAGATCAACAATGTTTCTGAGTTGGTTGTTTAAATTATTAACCAAATTTCATTACTTTATTCTGCATATCTAACTATCTTAAAAATAAATGTATAAGTGTTTGCTATGGCATCTATTCTACATATCTTATAAATGGTACATAATCTTGTTTTATGTGAGAGTTCTTAACATTGGATCTGTTTTGATTGGAGTATTGCTTTTTGTTTCCTTTTTGCTGTTATTTATACAGATCTAGATAGCGTACCATTAGGTAAGTATGTTTAGCTTTCTGTGTACCTACAGCTGCATGAATTACTAATTGTTCATGTACACTAATTGTGGTACATCTTATTTAAAACATTTTTATTGGCAGCCAGCTGGTTTTTGCATGATCTTTTTTGAAATGTATGTGACCACAAACATACTAAGTCTTCTGTCTTCACATTTCTTGATTTTTAGATTCTTAAATGTTTAAAGAAGTATAGTTTTCTATTTTATTATCTGAACTCCAGTTTTGGGTCTAGTTTCATCAGCCCCTCTTTCTGTTTCTTGCAGGAAAAGATGGGATATATATTCCTTTTTAGTTTTAAAATCTATTAATTTTGCATTTGTCATTTTACCCTCATAAATATCTTTCTGTGTTGTATATCTTTTATATATAATGTCTTTGGTTTATTTTTGATAGATTCTCAGCTATCCTTAAATTTTATAGAATTAAGTACATGTATTTTAATATTGTAAGTTGAATAAAGCTATCCAAAGAGTTTTACATGAATGGATTGAAATAATATTTATGATTATAACATGTTCGAGTTAGAAAGAGCTTAAGAGATGTTTGAACATTGAGATTTTCGACTCCTTGCCTCTACAACATTCATGTGAACTATGTCCACCCATGAATAATATCTGAGATTCTCCTGGCAGTTATATATATATATATATGAAAGGTCAGGAGTATCAGGTAATTTTATTGCTTGCAATTCTCCTGAAGATTATTTTTGAACAGTTTTTATTTAAAGTTATTTCAAAATCTGATCCTAACTTTTTTTTCTTAATCATACAGCTGTCAAAAGTTTTCTAAAATATTTTTCTTGAAGGAGAGGAATGTAGCTGAAAGATTAATGTAATTACCTCTCTGGATCATTAAACAGTCTATGAATCTAAATTTATTTTAAATGGTAGAATGTTACACAAATAAAATACTTGCTCTGTTTGATATTATTAGATTTTTCTTAGTTTTCCCTGTGTGTTAAATCTCAAAGTAATATTTCCTTGAGATCAACTCAGTAATATAGATGTGGACTTTTAACCTGCTCAAGCTATAACAAAGACATGTAGAAAAAAAATTTGATTATATTAAAGAACCACGTTAAGGCTGCCAAAATTCCTGAAATATAATGAGAATTTTTGCCATTCCTTGTGTTATTAAGCATATTTCCTCTCCTCTTCCTCTTCCCCCTCCTTTTTGTTCTTCCCACCCCCTCGTCTGCCTTTTCTTTGTTCTTCTTCATCTTAGTGGCTCAACTTGCAGTAATAAGTAAATTTTTATTTAAGTCCATTATCTCTTTTAACTTGGAAGAAAAAATGCAATGCCCTCTTTGATGTTGTTTTGTGCAGAAAATATTAAACTGTTAATTGTTGAGTATTGTTGCTTTTTCACAACTTTCAATTATCTATAGCTTAAAGAGGGGTCAAAACAGAGAAGAGGAACACAGTCAACTGATAACAACCTGTTACTCATGGCATAAATTTTCCCTAAGGCCATAATCTAGACCCAGAAGTGCTTGGAAGAAAAGCATGGAAGGCGAAAAACATGGAAGTAAATCCATACAAACTAGAGGGTCATATGTACATTGCTTTAAAAAAAAAAATATTTGTTTAATTTCAATTTATCTCGAGCTTTGGGCTGGGTGCTGGGATTCAAAGATAAGTAGGATACAGAATCTTGCTCTCATGGACTATGCCTTACTGAGGGTGACAGGGAAGAGACTTGGGATATGTACGGGGAGTTATGGGACCACAGAATGGGGCTACCTAACAGAAATGGAGGAGTTGATGCAGGCTTTCTGGAGCCAGTAAAATTTGAGCTGAAACATAAAGGAAGAAAAAGATTTAGCCAGGCAAGAGACACGGTAGAAGGGGGCTAGGCAGAAGAGTCACTCTTGGCAGTGAGTAAGGTAAAGCATGGACATTTAGCCACAACATTATATGCATGAAGACTTCAAGCCGGTTGGTGCCCTAGAGTAACAAGTATGTGACTTGGGATGATGAACATAAGGTTAGAGGCCAGTACTCCATGCTAATAGGTGTGTGTTGTTGTAGCCACTGAAGAACATCTTTATTTTCCCCTTCTTATTCCTCTACCTGTGTTTATGTTATTGTACCTAGGATCTTTCCCTACCTTTAGGGATTTGCTAGAAGATTCAAGGGGCTCAGCATACAATTGTATTCATGGCAAAGATTAATGAGAGCAGTATAGGAAGGATACACAACAGTACTATAAAGGAAAAGATGCAGATGGAGTAAGGAAGAATCCTTATCCAGGTTTTCTTATGCTCTTTTCCTTCCAGGAAACATCACACAGAGTGTACATTTCTCTCTGGAATGAAAATGCAGCAAGCTGAGTGCATTGTTCACGTCCAGGGAATTCCATTAGACACTCAGCATCTGAGATTTTTACTGGATACTAGTCACATACATTCCTTTTATATAGTAGTACCAGAATTCCAGATTCTGGAAGGAAAGCAGGAATTCTCAGCATAAGCCATATTGTTTGCACAAATATTCTAGGTGTAATGAACTATATTAGTTAACTGGTGACTAGAGAAATTCTGAGAGCTAAGTTTCCAGATAACAAAGTCCAACTTTGCAAGAACGCCTTTCTAAGGATAGTAGTCTTGGGCTGCTATTGCTACCCAGTCCAGACTCCCTCTGATTGCTGCACAACAGACCAATTAACTAAGAGGTGAGATGTTGAGGCAAGGAATACGACTTTACTCGGAAATCTGGCTGACTGAGAAGATGACAGACTAATGTCTCAAAATAATCATCTTATCAGGATCTGTATGCCAGGTTCTTTTATAGAACAGAGGTGAGGAGAGGTGAGGAGATAAAGTGAAAAGACCATTAACCTTGCAAACGTCACCTGGAATGGCCAGTCTTGGGGAGGGGATATGTTAATTTCTTGCTTTCTATAGTCATGCACAGGTGGACAGGATCCTGAATAAAGGCATTTTGGTTTAACATTCAAGCAGAGGGTCAGGCCCTTATGTATGGACAGTATCCTTTTAGTGAACAAAGTCAACAGTAAGCAAAGGTTAAGATAAAAGAAACAGATCTAATGTGGAGTCATAGCTGACTCTTCCCTGTAACACATCAACTCTTCTCCATATGTATTTATATTAATATGAATATCAACTTATTAAATATTGGTTAGCTTCTAGTGACATGAGATTATGCAACTATGTGCTGATATGGATGACTTTAAGACATTTTGCAGTTTTAAATCTCACTGCCTTTAGCTTTAATGCTTAGTGATGAGAAAAGAAGCTGACACCGGGCTGGAATTATGTTCTAAACAGTTGGAAGTAGAGCAGTGAGATGATGGCATATCCTGCTGCCCAGATGGCTATAGTGCCAAAGACAAAGCTCAGTCCTGAAGAGGTGTGTGATTTGGTGAAGTCTCGGTGAAGGGCTCTATCTTCTGGCTAGGTTAGTTATGCCAAACTGTAATCATCTGTAGATAAAGCATACATGCATATGCAGGAGCTAAGTAGTTTTTACTAAGCACTTATATGATTGATGTTCTAACTGGTTTCATCATTCCCTACAAGAAAATTACTAGTCAATCTTAGCCTGCTTTTATGTATGGGAAAATAAAGACTAGACTTGTCATTTCTTTCCATTTTCTATGTTATTAACTAATTCAGTTATACTAGCGCTCATTATCCTGTCTGTGAAGCGCATCCTCCAGCCTCTACGTATGGGCTTTGAGATACACATTGCCCTCAAGACCACCATTTCCCTCATTTCAGAAAGTAAACTTCCTTTTTGTGGGTCCTATTAGATGGACTCCATTTTAGATAATGCTATCATTTATTACTGAATTTCTATCCAGTTGTCTGCTAAACAGTGAGGAAGAAAGGGAGCATCTGAGAAAGGAATTAAGAATATGATTTATGAGCATAATACACCTGTATGATATCAAAGTAAAAGTCAAAAGGAGATTAATCCTGCATATTTTAATTAGCATATATTATTGAAAATATTGCCTTTAGTTTTGTGCTGTGGCTTTATAATGAATTGTATAATTTGCCCCTGTGTTAGGAGCTCACTGACATTTTAAATAATTTAAGTGGATGTTTTATTTACTGACTTCCTTCTAGTTTTATATGTTTGCCTTTTCCTCTCTTTTCATCAGTGTGCTACTGTTCTGAAATAGCAGTGGTTTGTTTGTATTTATTTATAAAACTATTGCATGGAAACCTATAGTTCTAGCCTTTTATGTACGTGTGAATGAGCTGCATGCTGATGTGTAACTTCTGAATACCTTCACACACACATACTCTCTTTCTGCTTGAAAACAAAAATAAATAGAAGAAAATCTATAAGTACATTGGAATACTGATAAAATACAACAAATATATTTACACTTATGTATTTTTTGATGTTTCCTCAGTAGATTAAAGGGAGCTTGTGCAGCATTTACTTCAATTTTTCATGTTTTACTCAATGGTTTTTCATACATGGAATAAATGGATGGTGTGGGATAAATACATTCTCTGAAATTATATTTAAATAATTACACATACTCAGATAAATACATGATCTCATTTCCATCCTGTGAACGCAGTTCTTCTTTACTTTATCATTCAACTCATGGCTTTCCTATCTTGAGCACATTTTTCTCATCCTAGGACATATAATCAAAAGAGTTTCTTAGAATTTTATTTTTACATTTCTATTTTGACTGAGTTAACTAAAACCAAAGTGCCCATGTTGAGAAACCTCAGGCTGATGTTTATTATAGCATAGGCATTACAGTCATTCAAAGTGTGACATGGATAATACTTACATTTTGGACTATTTTTTTTTTTAGAAAATGTAGAGGAGAGCACTGATGAGGATGTACCTTTAAACAGTCCAGGATCAGAAGGAAGGTAAGAGAACCTTTAGAAACTTAATGAGTTGACTTGTTTCTGTAATATTTGTAATACTTTTATATTGTTGAATCAATTAACATAAAACAAATAATTTTAGATTTTATGGCTAAGTGAAGAACAGTAGAAATAGTAATATGGAAGCCAAACTAAGTAATGCTTAACCATCAAGAATTTTAAAATAAAATACTGAGATATTTAAGGAAAGAAATGAACTATTTTGATTATTTTTATTTTAATATTGTCCTTCTGTATTTTCCATAGGCTTATAAATTTTTTTCCAAACTTAAACTGATTAGAGGTCATATAGTTTTGTATATTGTTTCCTTTTATTCATATGATTAATTATTTATTTGCACACAGCTCACTGTCTTCAGACCTTATGAAGCTTTGTGGTGAAGTGAAACCAAAAAGCAAGGTAAGAATAGAAAATACCAGTTAAACATTTTTTCTGATGTTCTTTATTATCACTATTAAATGCATAGGCCTTGGGCACAGGCAAAGATTTCATATGATAGAAATTTAGTTCTTTATCATATTCTCCCTTGAAAAAAATTTATATTGACAAATTTCTCCTCTGTGGAACTTATTATTTACTGTATTCTTGTGCTTTTTCCTCTAGGTAAGATATGATTATGGAGAACAATGCTTAAAATAATTTAGAATGACAGGAGACTTTTGAAATTTTAACATTCTAATATGTTCCTAAGTCTCTGATTTATTTTAACATATCTTGAGATGGTTTGAATAGGTCAACTCTTAATCATCATATTGTATTAAAATTTGAGACTATAATGCATATTTGTAAAGCTTAAAAAATAAAGTATACATGCTATTACATGTGTGAGAAATAGCATGGTATATTTAAGATTGCATGTTGGTAGCATTTGATACTAGATGAGTTAACTATCCATTTTAAGATGTTTGAAAACAAAGAATTCTTGCAGTGCTTAGTAAATATTTGGTGGATGAATGGATGAAATCAAGACCTGAAAGAATAGTACTGTACTAATGCACAGGATGGATACAAGGCCCACAGTGGTTAGCCAGGTAATATAGATAAGTAGTTTTTGACTAGATATAAGATAATTAACAGGAATCATTATGATTACCTGAAGTGGACATGGCCCATCTAAAGCAAATAGGCATCACTAACTAATGCTTATTTTTGCTATCATGAAATATGGGCCTAAGACTACCAGATCCTCAACTCTTTAAAGAGTAGCTTTAAATATGGATTTTAATGGAGAATTTCTTTCTCTTTAAAATACTGAGCTAGCCAATTAAAAAACATCTCCAGGCTTTATGTATGGTCCTTGAGCTACCAGTTTGGTGACATGTGGTTTGAGTTTGATTATTCTAAGTGACCAAAGATTATCCAGTCTCAAAACATTCTAGTATAGTTTGGATTGAGTCTTAACGTGTAGGCAAAAATCTCTTAAGGTAACTTGGTCTTTCAGACCCTGTGAAGTTCAGAGAGAGATGTGAAGTGGTACCCTGAAGGTCATCTCCTTAAAAAACCATTGTGATTAGGAATTCCCATGAAAATGATTCAGTTGGCAATAGGGAAAACTGATACGGTGAAAAGCTGGCCTGCAGGGCTTCCTTTTTCCAAAAGTTTTCTGGTAATATCTGTCATTCCTTTGGTCCTGCATGGATGCCTGTTAGTTGCTCAGTCATGTCTGATTTTGTGATCCCATGGACTGTAAATTTCGTGGACAGAGAAGCCTTCCAGGCTTCTCTGTCCACGAAATTCTCTCAGCAAGAACACTGGAGTGTGTAGCCATTTCTTTCTCCAGAGGATCTTCCTGACCCAGGGATCAAACCCCAGTCTCCTGCGCTGCAGGCAGATTCTTTACTGCCTGAGCCCCCAGGGAAGCCCATAGATGCCCAAAAGGATCGAATATTATTTATTTTTCACTCACTGAAGAAATGAAATTGATTATATATCTTAAATAGACTGGTACCAGCACTACATTAAATGTAAGACATATAAAGTTGAATAAAACAGGATGTCTACCATTTAGAGGTTTATAATCTGGTAAACATTTTGATTGTCTTTTAATATATTAGTGACAATAGCCAGCTCTAAGTATTAACAACAAGGTAGTCTCTTTGTTTTTTTAGGAGTATGGAAGGGAGTGCTTAAATAAATAAAATAACCTTCACCTGCCTTACCATGCTGCCAAAAAGTGGTATGGACTGGTGTTGGATATCCATCAGGGAGATTAAACAGCCAGTTAGGGCATCAGGTGAGCAGGGTCATAAAAATGGAGAAACAGATGTAAACATTGATATGTAAAATTTAAATTTATATATTACATAATATATATTAAAATGTATATTAAATAAGTCATCTAAGCCTGGGGAAGATAAGAATTTAGTTGAATGCCATTGCACCTATCTTTTGGTTTAATTTCTTTATTCCTTTTTTCTTTTTTCCTAAAATGATATATCGAGAAAGCTGGCCATTAGTTATTAGGATAGCATAATAATACTGGAGGCAGATTGTCTGGTTTTGAATCTGACTTTGCTACTTAATAGCTATTTGACTTTGGGCTGTTAGCTATCCTGTGCCTTAGTTCTCTCATTTTGGGAGTTGGGATAATAATAGTATATACTAATATAGTAAATTACTTAGAATTTCTGGCATACAATAAGTATAATACAAACATTGGCTATTATTATGACCTCTAAAGTTCTCAGCTGGCTGTATCTCTGGCTTGTCACTATCTTACATGTGTTCGACACACTTGCTAGGAAAGACACGCTGAATGTTTTACCTATTTCAAACTAATATTAAGTCTCTATTGCCTAATCATCTTCTCTGCAGAAGTTTGCATATGATTGCTTTTCCTTCCATTCTCTGACTAGGCCCGAAGGAGAACCACCACTCAAATGGAATTGCTGTATGCAGATAGCAGTGAAGTAGCCTCAGACACTAATACAGGAGATGCCTCCTTGCCTGGCCCTCTTACACCTGTTGCAGAAGGGCAAGAGATTGGAATGAGTACAGAGACAAGTACCTCTGCTAGGGAAAAAGAGCTCCCTCCCCCATCTGGCTTCCCTTCTAAGATAGGCAGCATGTAAGTCTGGCCCAGCTACACTAACTTCCTTTCTTTTGGCTTTTCTTTTTAAAAATAAAAATATATATGCATGTTACTAATTTCTTATTTCTATTTTTAAAAATTTATGTAAATAAGGTCTATAGTTTTCAAAGTAATTTCTGTTAGGTGTTGTATCCCCTAATTTTTGCACATTCAAAATAATTTAAATGAGATGTTCTTTGTTGAATTGCTTTGTCTGATATTTAACTTTTAGAGTCTTTCTTAAAGATTATAATTTTTATAAAGTCTGAGTTATAAATTACAGGCAAAATTTATTTAGAAACACCTAAATTAAAGTTATAACTATAAAACCACTATATAAACAGCTTTAAAAGACTCATAAATTTGCTCTTAATTATGTTAAACCCTAGTTCTAAGAGCCTGGTCAGGATAATAAACCTTGGCTGAAACTCTTAAAGAAGAAACAAGTACCGGTTAAAAACAATACATTTCGAAGTTTCCTAATTCTTTACCTTGAAGTACATTGCATGTCTGAGATGAGTGTATACACAAAGTGTCAATACTATATTATTAAAGATGTGAAGGAGGGACTGTTTCCTCCCTCCTCTATGATAATCTTAACAAAAAAATTCCTTTCAAAACAAATCTTATTTAGAAATTTTTCATTATTATCTTGAGAACAAAGATTTCCCTGCACAGGCCAGCATGCGTTTGTGTGTATGTCTTTTCTTAGTTATATTAAAATTATATCAATCGCTTACTGCTAAAGATTTTTAATGCCTTATTTCAAACTAATTCTTACACATGGTCTTGCAAATGATCTATTGGATGAACGCATCACTGCATTGAGAAATATTGCCAAAAAGTGGTACCCACTATATGACTCTAAATAATAAAATGTAACATACTCCCCACCCCAACCTGAATATCTATCTGTTTCCCATAACTTTCTTCATCCTATGAAGATATTTTCATTGTCTTACATTCAGTAAGCCCATCGCTACCTTTAGTTCCAAAATTAATGATGACAGAACTATCCTGCATGTGCTTGAGGTGACTTATGTAATTAATAATTGGATTTGCTATTAGAGATTGCTAACCAGTATAGCTTATGGCTTCAGTGCTTTTTTGATAACAGTAGAAGAAATGCTTTTGGTGAAGGTAATGATATAGAACTGAGGACAGATTTTAGAGACTCCAATGAGTTCAGCATTTAGTCTATCAGATGAATAGAGACTTTTGGAACTTCAAGACTAAATCTATGACCTGGATTCCAGAATGCAGGTAATACCTCCTTGTTGCCTTTTTTTTTTTCCCATTTTAAAAATGTATCATTCATGACAGGTTGTAGAAAATATCTTTTAGACACCATCTCTTCACATGATTTATTATCAAGTTTTCATAAATTAAGATGCTTGTATAGTTCTATACAAATTTAACAGTTGGTCATATCCTTGGTACAACTCTTATAACTCAGTACGTGACTTCCATTGCATGAAGTAAAATGATTTACTCAAGTGGGCCTTATGATTTAAATAATGCAAGACTTCTAAAATATGTTTTCCTCTAATTAAAAAAATCAGGAACATAAAGTTTAATTATATTTAATTTTCACTTTCAAATCGGAATTGTTGTAAGCCCATTTTAGGGATCCCACTTGCTCATTCCTTAGGTTTTTTTTTTTTTCCTTACTAGTATAACTAGTCAAAGATAGCAAAAGTTCATTTTTTCAATTAAAATTCCTTACCACTATGCACAGAAATCGTAGTCTTAAATTTTTAATTACATAGCCACTACTCAACATTTAAAGTCTATAATAAAACAAAAGTATTTTTAATACTAAAATTTATATAGCTAATGCTTAAATACTAGTTAACTAAAATAATTGTGGGTTCTTTGTGATTACCTGCAGTATTCTTTTGTGATTGTGTAAATATTAATTCATTAAATCTCATTGTTTCTCATACTCTGACATTCTAATATTTTTGTTCTTGCAAAACTGTAAAGACAATTTTCCCTCAACTGAAGCAAATCTAATCAAACTTATACACTTATGTTTTTTAACACTTGTATTTAAAGTAAAAAATATTATTTTAGCTATTTGGCAATATAGCGTTGATGTTTGCATTCGAAGATAATGGTCATGTATATTTGACAAGATTACCAATTTAAAAATTAAAATATACAGTTGTCAAGATCCCATTAATTAAAAATAATTTGTGATATTTTCCTATCCTAGTTCTGTTTCATTTCCAAATAATCTTTCTCAAATTCCAGGTGTTGATCTGTTAAAAATTGAATATCTGCCAAAATTGTGTGTATTTAAAATTAGATAATTGAAGAATCTTCTTCTGTCTTAGTTCCAGGCAGTCCTCCATGTCAGAAAAAAAGCTACCAGAGCCTTCCCCTGTAACAAGGAGAAAGGCATATGAGAAAGCAGAAAAATCAAAGGCAAAGGAACAAAAACAGTAAGCTATTCATGCTCTTTATCTAGTAGATTGTGTGAAATGTTTGATGCCCTTAGATGCTAAGGGGCAATGGTGAAATTGTTTTCCATATTCAGGCTGACTCTGGGATTGTGACTTGGTCTTATAGAAAGTTTTGAAATTAATTTTGACTGTTATCTGATAAAACTGACATTGATTTCACCACTTTAAAGTGATTAACAAAAATCTAGTATTAGAAGCTATCTGCCATTGTGCCATTTTATTTCTGTTCTTTTATGTTTAAATTGATACTATCCTCAATTTTTTTGTTAAACTATTTTAATAGCTATTTATATGTTTTATAAGGGTTAGCTTACTTCACAGTACACAATATAAACTGATGATCCACTTACCTGGACATTTGTAAATCACAATAACACAACAGACAGAAAGTTTTAAATGGGTTAAAACTATCACCTTTCTACTCTATGGCATAGTGAGATCTCCCTTAGGCCACCTCAGGAGCTACATATGGCAAGTAGATCTCTGACATGGTCTTGAGTAGGAATATCAGTGTGAATCTATATTTAAGTATTGGTAAAGCAAATTTCTTTAACATAAAAATAATTATAAAAAGAAGCTCTCATATATTTTTTGTACCTGCAAAGATGATATCTTATACCTTCTTCCTCTCTTGTACCAACATGCACACTCTCTACTTTGACCACTGGTTTAGCTGACTTGAATATCATGGAAATTACTCTTCTAATTAACCTTCTTCCTGTATTTAGAGGTGGAATTTACCTGTTTCTACTGAGTTGAATGTTGCAATTATAAGCTGGAGGTAGGGGATGGGACAAATATGTAATTTAAAAATAAATGAATAAATCAGCTGAATAGACAAATTCTTCTTAAACTCTCAGGGTCTGTTTCCTCATCTGTAAAGTGAACAACTTGGTTTCAACTCTCAAATTGTATAATTTTAAATTTGGTTTGCTTTATTTGTACTAACTTTAGATTTTAGCAGACATTTTCTTTAGTGCCATCTTGTGGCCAATGTGACAAAATTCAGTGGAAAAAATTTCAATGAAATTAGAGTACATTTTATCTCATATAAAAGGAAGAGAGGATGAAAGGAAGGAATTCTATAATGAAAAGCTTTTTTAAAAAATAAAAGCATGTTTCTTATAACATTTCTAACAAATTAAAGCCAATTAAAGCCACATATGTAATGTTCTTTTTTCTTGTAGCTCAGATTCTGGAACCTCAGAGGCTAGTCTTTCACCTCCTCCTTCCCCACCAAGCCGGCCCCGTAATGAACTGAATGTTTTTAATCGTCTTACTGTTTCTCAGGGAAACACATCAGTTCAGCAGGATAAGTAAGTCGTTATGTAAAAGAGCCCCAATTATTCATTATAATATTCTGAACCTTTCAATACAGTCTGTAGAAAACATTTAGCCTCTCTCTGTGTGGGAGATGGAGTCTGACTTGTGAACCCTTCCCATATTTCATGTATTTTTCCAATGGAAAATGAACCATTTAGACAAAATTGGAGACATTTATTTTCCTGCTGAACATTATTCCCTGCTATGGATTTGCATTGCTGTACTTCCACACTTGTGTTGCCTTTTTTTTTTTTTACAAGTAAATTAGAATTGAAAATCTTTGAGATCACTTGAAGTTTAAATTTCTTGTGATTCTTCAGCTTTATTGAGCCCATAAAAGCCTCTAAGCCAGATAGCCTGCACTGAAAAGAGGCAAATTATTTTACTTTTGGTGCATGTATCATCTTCTAAAACCATTGTCATATGTGTATGGGTAAAAGAGTACTTTGATGGGTGGACGACATTGAACTCTGGGTTGTTGGGGAAGAGAAGTTGGAAAGGGATGGAAAATATAATTTTCATTAAATTTGAAGTGAAAAAATATTTCCACATTGAGCCAGAATCTCGTTTGCAAGAATTTCATACTAACAGTGTTGCCCTAAGGTATTTATTAACTGACTTCTCTGCTTTGAGTTTCAATGTTAACATTGTGGATAAGATAAGTACTTGATATTCAGTATCCCACACCAGTTCTTTGTTTTTTATGCTATAATCTCCCTGTATATATCAATTTCTGAAATTTACAAGGTATTGTTTAAGATCCATCTGGTATGTTTAGATTGTGCTAAATGGCTCTATATACATAGGCACATCATCATTTTGAAAGATTGTTTAATCTACTTAATTTATGGATACATTTTTTATTAGATTTTAATATAGTTTTAGCATTAGATACAGACATGTCCTTTAAAATGATCTAGATAGGTTTTTTAAAAAAATATTTAAAGGAGAACATAGTTAAATCCTATCTCTTATCTAATTGAGAAAGAGAACATTAAGAATGTCTTTAGGAAGTCCATTTTCACTAGCATTATGAAGAATTAAGTTTTGTGTCCCTTGCATTCACAGTATTAAAATTTTTGTGTCTTTTGATAATCTTGACGATCTAATCATAGTTCCATATTGTTTCTGAAATTGTTTATGAGCTACCAATCATTTGACTCTGTTGTCATCTCTGTAAAGTAAAATTTAGAATAACTGACTACACTTTCAAAAATCTCACCTAACTTGTGAATCACTTTCTTTGGGCTCCTTTTTGAGACTATCATATTTTACCAGATAGAAGTAGGTCCTACACATTGTTTCTGATTACATAATATGCCAGCACTCACTTTATCCCCATTCTTCCCAAGTATTAGAATGACCAAAAAGTTTGTTTGCGAATTTTTCATAAGACGTTATGGGAAAGCCCAAATCAACTTGTTGGTCAACCCAAGATATTATATAACAATACAAGCTAAATAGATTTTCATAGTAACTAGACTTATTGTCAGTTCTGGAGGTTTCAGGTTAAGGCTGACGAGAGTAGCTCGTCTATTTTTAAAATTCCAGTAAAACCTCCTAACTATTACTAAGGGACTGCCTAGTCAGAAGAACTCCATGTTTTTGAGATGAATTAAAATCCAAGGTTATTAAATTTTGAATGATTTGTTTTCCATGTATACATATGATGTATTTGTGCAACTTCCGCATGAAGAGTCTAAATATAAAGTAATTATCAAGAGGAATAAAATTCATTAGTGACTATTGAGACAGAAAAAGTTTTCTAGTACTAGTCAAATTAGAGTCTTGAAGTGATGTATTTCACTAGCTTGATGCTGTTCCTCTTCAGGGCCTGTATTTTAGAAAGTGAGAGTAGATTAAATTCTGTGGATCAGTAATAGAAAGTACCCCCCCCCCCCCGCCCCAAATTTTGGAAGAAAACATAAGCACAAAATTTTAACTAATTTGGCTATCAATGAATTTGCTGATATTCTGTGCTAATAGGAAAGGAATGCGCTATAAAGGAAATGTTTGCTGTATTTCTGTTATTCATAGTACTGAATCCGTTCAGTCTCAGTGGCTTTACCTGTTGACATCTGTTTTCTTTTTCCTCATAATTCTAACTCTTTCACTGTAGGTCTGATGAAAGTGATTCCTCTCTGTCGGAGGTACACAGGTACTTTCTATCTTTCCTATGTTCTGGCATTTCATTGATGTTCTAAAATGCCTTCCAAGAAACTTTAAACAAGGCTCATTTTTGTTGCACTCATAACTTGTAAGCCATATAAATGCACTAATATTTTTAAACATTAATTTTAATATACTTTTGTGAGGTCATAGCTTTCAAGGTAATGGCAAACTTTTAAAATATAATAGTATAAAAACATGTGCCATTTTATTCTGTCTATAATCTAAAACTTTTATTTAAAAGAAATTAAGTTTTATGAAAATTAATGTCAAGGTTTGCTCTTCATCAGACATTTTTTCCACCTCAAAATGTAGGAAGTGAATAAGGTATTTTTTCATGTTGATTTATTGATTTTAAATAAAACCTTAAGGCAGGCTCTGTGATTTTAAAACAAAAGGTATGCTAGGGGAAAAAAGTATACTGTGGTACATAAAATATAGAAAGTAAAGAATTTTTAAAACATAATATTTTAAGCATTTTAGATGCTGTTTTTAAAATAATGTTGCATTTCTTCATGTTATGGATTTTTTGGACCCTTAATTTCTTTTTCCTTTTATTTCCTGTCCTTACTAATCAATTTGTCTCCTTCTTTCTCTTTGCACTACTTTCCCATGTTTCATGACCATTTTCTTGATCATCAGTAGATCCTCCAGAAGGTAGGCAGGGGAAGGGAGAGGAAATTAATATCATTCACAGTATTACAAGACTTTATTGGTTTTTCATGGATCAAAAAGCATTTTTTCCCCTTTCACATCAGATCTGTTGTATATAAGTTTACAATATTAAAGTTGAGTTATATATTTCAGAAAGTGAATAGATTTTTAATAGAGTAAGAAATACCTGACTTATGTTTCCAACTTCTGTATTTTTTCTATTAATATTATCTTTTGTATCAGGTAATAGCTATAAAATATTAACCCCAATATTCTGAATATTTGAGAGTATTGTACAGTATCTAATGAATATAATATTATATTTAATGTTGAAATTATTTTCTTCAGATGTCTGAATAAATAAAATACATAAGAATAAAAAGAGACATCCTGGTGTCTAAGGTGTACCATACATAAGTTATTGGAACCTTTGTAATTTTACAACCTTTCACATGGCAGAATTGTGTTGAACGTTATGTCATCAAGGGAACATTAGTAGATTCTTAGGATAAAGATAGTAATCTGAAGGAAGGAAATCTTTGGAGACATAGTATTAAATAACCAAGGGTACTATTTTAACTTTTTTCTTAGGATGATTTGTGTCATTTAATCTGCATTTGTGCAGATCAAAGCAGCTCTAAGCTTGTTAAAATGAATTCCTTTCTTTATAATCAGCTTGTTAATATATACATACATATATATGTAGTGTTTTAGAAGTAAGTATTATAGCAGTAGACTATGCATTAGATCATAACTTTTCAACATCTGAAGCAGCAGTTAAAAATTTGATGGCCTCAGTTCATAACTGTAAACTCCACATAATAGGATTTCAAAATGGCAATTTTAGACTTTTGAGGAGGTTTTGCTACCATTTCTGTTTCAATCTGATTAAATTTTTAGACATCTCACAAATTACTGAGCATTAATTTCAAGGATCTCAAATTAATGTGTATATACAAATAATACTTTGGATTTTGTAGTTATGAATCCAAGTGATGGATGATCCATGTGATCCATCCATGTGCCTGGTCTTATTTCTGCTGATGAGGAGCTCCCTTTGCTTTTTGAAATCATTATAACTAAGTCCTAAAAATAAATATTTCTTTATCCTGAGCCTAATTTATTACCTCTTTAAATATTTGTTCATTGGTCTGTCCTCAGCCCTCTTGAGCTATACTAGCATTAATCCAGTACATCTTTTTTGCATGCATATGACAGCTCTTTAGATATTTAGTACTTTTGTATGGTCTCTCCAATGAAGGTTCTTTTATCAGCTCAATAGATTTAGATTAATCTGTTTCTAATGTGATATAGTCTGCAGATCCTTCTTTTTGCTTCTACTGTTTTGGAAAATCTCCAGGTTTCAAAAGCACAATGAGGTACCATTTCAAAGCTCTATGTAGCTTCTAGAATTCTACTTCATTCCAGACGTAGCCTTGGCAGAGTATAGTAGTTCAATTGCTTTCTTTCTCCTGAAATATTTACTTATATTGCAGAAGTTATTGAAAATAGTGTTAGAGGAATCATACATTGTTGATCCATTGATCTTGCATTCAATAAATAAATTTCTCTAGCTTTTAAAATCTAATTAAGCTCCTTTCCTACTTGGAGCATTATGTTCTATCTTCAACTTAAATTATATGTTTAAATTTTATCCAGTGAATATTTTAGTGCTAAGAACATACTTAAACAGATTTTGGAATAATTTTCTAGACAGTATAGCTCTTTAATATGTCAATTTAGCAAGCTTGCCATATCTGTCTTAAGTTCACTAGAAAGACTAACTAGATATTGAAGACCTTTTTCCAGATTGAGAGGAACAATGATTCTAGGGGTAACTTTTTCAGCCACTGATGGAACTACCTTACTACAAGAATTTCAAGCTTACCCACCATGTATGTAGGGATATCATTTGAAACGCTTTTTGTATGGACTTTATTGAAGTCAATATACATTATGAGTACGACATTACCCTAGTTTGCTGCCTATTAAGTTTACCAAAAAAACTCCCCATGAGATGTTATCACTTACTCATGATCAGTTAGGTGTTTGTAATTTTTGTAATTATTTATTTAATAGTTCCCTCTATGAAACTCAACAAGTTTTACCCATCGGTAATTTCTGAAATCCACTTTTTTTTTCTCCTTTCTGGAATGTTGGATCTACATATTTTATCCCCTTTATTGATTCTCTTAGCATACCAACAATGATTTTGCCTCCACAATGGTATATACGTTCAAAATCTTATGATATAATGATTTAAAAATAGAAATACTTGAACTCATTGAATGTCTTCATTGTCAGTTCTAACTTATGTTGGGCTCACATTTCTACTGAATTATTTCTGTCCCTGGCATCTTAAAGGTTGTTCTCATTCATCAGAATCTGTCCTAATATTAGGCCATCTGTCTTATATAATGGACACACGTGCATGTGTGCTAAGTCACTTCAGTCATGTCCGACTCTTTGTGACCTTATGGACTGTACCCTTCCAGGCTCCTCTGTCCGTGGCATTATCCAGGCAAGAATACTGGAGTGGGTTGTCTTGCCCTCCTCCAGAGGATCTTCCTGACCCAAGGATTGAACTCGCATCTCTCATGTATCCTGCATTGGCAGCCTGGTTCTTTACTGCTGGTGCCTCCTGGGAGGCCCATAAAATGGACATATTTCAACATAACTTTTCTTCCTGCTCTGAGCAAAGATACATCTAACTTATATATATATACACATATATATGTCATATATATGATATATACATATATATATGACATATATATGATATATATATAAGTCACATATATATGATATATATGATAAATATCATTCTTAATTCATTCTCATTTTCAGTGTTCCCAATACAATGATTTCAATTCAGATTCTGTCTTAAACTTCTTTAGAATAGGGACAGTGTCTTGATAAACTTTACATTTCCACAGTTCATAGTCCAGTGGCATAAAGCAGAAATTCAAAAAATATTAAAGTTAGGAGAAAGGTCCAAAGAGCATCACTATTCTTTTAATATCTTATTCTTTTTTAAAAAAAAAATCTTCTTTGAAATTGTTAGAATTTTAAAAGCTTTTGTTATTTTTGAGCCATTCTCCCTTTAGATATCTATTTATGCAATCATTCTTGTATTTCTTCAAATTTGTTTGAAATTTGCTTTCTTAGTATTTTAGGTAGTATGTATTATACCATCTTTAAAATGTCTTTTTTTGACATAGAATTCCAGTCTGATAGTTACATCTTCCAGTTTTCCATCATTAATACTTCTTATTTTTCATAATTTACTATATTTGAATAGCTCCCAATATTACTTTATTAAATTGAAGAGATAAAATTGTTAGTGAGAAAATTCAAATGTATTGTTGACTTTGCTCTTTGCAGAATACAGCTGCTAGCTGATTCCTAAATAGTTGATGCACTTCATCACTACTAATTTCACACTTTGTCCGTTTACTTTAAAAAAAGATAAGGAACTGTCTGGTTTTTCAGTCACTCAGTCGTGTCCAACTCTGGTGTTTCTATAGTACCAATTATTTAGAACAACTTCTTAAAGTCAGAGAAATAAAAAGTAGTTTCATGATATAGCTGCTGAAGTAAATCTTATTTTTCTCCCCATCTCAGGGGCATAATCAATCCGTTTCCAGCTTCAAAAGGAATCAGAACTTCTCCACTTCAGTGCGTTCATATAGCTGAAGGGCATACAAAAGCTGTGCTCTGTGTGGATTCTACTGATGATCTTCTTTTCACTGGATCAAAAGGTGCTAATAGTTGTGTCATGTGAATATTTAACAGATCTTTTTAATGATTACATTTTAACAGGTTTTGAAAAATGTCAAACTGCTTAAGACTCATAAGAATCTGAAAGATAATGTTGTTCAACTGCTGAACTATATAAAATATAAAATAATTGCATAGTTAAGAAGAAAGTAAAATCTCTGTTGATGTTATGTGAATAGAATGGTGAAGGAATACATCTCGATTTGGTAATTGAGCACCTAATGTATGCAAAGCCCTGAGCTTAGTAACACAGGCTATGTAAAAATCCATAAAAGGCCATTACAATGTACAGCGTGGTAAAAGAATAAGATGGGTAGCAACCACCATTTCTTGAGCCCTTAATAAGTGTCTGAAACTATACTAGCCACTATGCAAATTTTACCTCATTTAATTCTCACAACAATGCCAATGTTGCATCCTCATTTTATAGATCAAGAAGCTGAAGATTCCAGGAATTAAACGATTTTTTCCAGATAAGCTTAACTAGTAAGTGGAAGAGCCAGGATTAAAAACTTAGGTCTGCGCATCATCAAACCTGCACTTGGAGGCAACTAGAAATTAACTATAAATGATTTGAAGAGTTATACATGAATATTTGGGGTTTCAGAAGAGAAAGAGATTTTGATAAAATGTGAAAAATAAGGAAGGCTTTGATGAGGAGGCACTTAGGATGAACCACTTACTGGATTGTTTGGATATTGGCAAATAAAAATTGGCAACCAAGATTAGAGAGCAGTGTAAGCAGAGACATGAAGGTAGAAGTGGTTTTGGAAACTAAATCCAGCTGGCTTGAAAAGTAGAATATATGTAGAAGTGGTGGATAATGAGGCTGGAAAGATGAGAAGGAAGCATGTGTAGGAATTTGGGAAGCTAGTTAAAGTCTTTTAGCATTTAAGGATATTAAAAGATAAAGGGAAGAATCTTGCCAGCACTTGTAAATAATAGCAAGCAATTCCCCAATTAAAAAAAAATTTGCTCTGTAAAAGTATTAATGTTCTAGTAAATTAAATTTATTTCTCCAGGATAATTAGATACTTATATCAGAAAGGCAAAGTATTGAATAGAATAGTTTTATGATCAAGTTTATGATTATGTTAATGAAGTCAATTAGTGACCTCTGGAAAAGAAATGTGTATGTAGTTCTGCATGTGGAGTGTTGTGAGTAGGTAAGAGAGTATCAAAACCAAATGTTTTGAAGAGGCTGGTTTGGGATGGCCATTTTAAATTCAGGGGCAATTTGAAATAAGACTATCAATATGTCTATTTTAAAATTTTGTATAATTATTCTTTAATACCACTTGATACATACACCAGATATCCTAGCTTTCATCTAATCCTTTATACCTACTTTGCCCTTGAACCTGCTGCAAAGTGTCAAGGATAGAGTTAGGATGCTATTGTAAGTTAATTAAATAATTGCCATTTTCTTATCTCATTTTTTCTCATAGGAGAGAAATTGTTATTGCTAAGAGAATCTAATTTAGTTCTTATTGACAATATTTCCTCTTTTTTATTTGCTTTTAGATCGTACTTGTAAAGTATGGAATCTGGTGACTGGGCAGGAGATAATGTCACTGGGAGGTCATCCCAACAATGTAGTATCTGTAAAATATTGTAATTATACAAGCTTGGTCTTCACTGTGTCAACATCTTATATTAAGGTGTGGGATATCAGAGATTCAGCAAAGTGTGTTCGAACGCTAACGTAAGTAACTTAGAGACAAGTAGCATAAGGGGCAAATAGTTCTTCTTTATAAGATATAAGAAAAGATAGGTCTATATATGCATTTTTGTTTATTTATGCCTTTCCACTTGCAAAAAATATTAAAATGTTTACAATAAGAATGTATATAACATAAGGTGAAAAAATACTGAGAAAATAAAATACAATAGGTCAATATTAAACAGAAAAGGAGAATTCATATTTAATCTGCAATTCAATACACATTTCATAGTTCCTTCCTCCCCAAAACTAAGGAGTTGAATTTTCATTATTACTTGATGTAGTAAAATGATTTACTTACTTGCTTCAAATGAATGCCTCTCCTTGGAAAATGGCTGAAATCACCATCATAGACCATTAAGAAGTACTTGCAAAATTCAGTTAGCATCTATTGAATAACTGAATAATTGAGGAATATTTTTCTTAAGACTTGCACTGCTTTGATATTAACCTGTGTTTCATAACTGTAGATTGGACAACTGGAGAATGAATTTGTTTTCTGCATCTGTTATTATATATGTCTTTAAAACATAGAACAAATAATGATTCCTTTTCCCATAAGATTGATGAACTGTTTCACATCATTACAATTTTAATTAAAAGATGAATTATATTGGTTTAAATAAGAGAAAGGAGCATAAGGGTGGTTAATTTTTACTAATTTGTAGAGTGAAGATTATTAACACTTAAGTGCTATTTTATATGTTGAGACTACTAATCATTTACTGTGCTGAATACAGGTCTCTTGAGGGAAATTTTATAGGAAAAAACACTATCTTAGAAATTTACCAGTCCGGTTGACTCATTAAAATCATTTGAAAATGTTGATTGTAACTTGATTTTTTTGGAAGTTAGCTAATAAAATGATTCAAAATTGAAAAATATATTTGCTATTTAGAATTTAACTGAGGAAATAAATCATGTTTAAGTCTTTTCCACATAGTAAGCAATCCATATATGATTGGCTTAAAATATACAAAAACTTTTACTCAAAGGGTCATATCTTATATATGGAGAAACATTGGTTTGTTCTTCAGTGGATTTCTGCAAGCTGCAGGAAAATGAGTTAGCTTTGTGGCACTGTCTGATCTGTTGAGCCTGGCAGGCTACAATCTGTGGGGTCACAAAGAGTCGGACATAACTGAATGACTGAGCACATGCACACATCATTTGTTGAGTTTTGTTATCTTTGTCATCTAGTCTTTTCTGAATCATATTTAAGTCATCTCTAAAGGGGCCCAAAGCCTGTGTACCCACGTGGCTTTGTGGTAAAGAGCCTGCCTTTCAGTGCAGGAGATGCAGGAGACATGGGTTCAATCCCTGGGTTGGGGAAGATCCCCTGGAGTAGGAAATGGCAACCCTCTCCAATATTCTTGCCTGGAAAATTCCCTGGACGGAGGAACCTGGCGGGCTACCGTCCATGGGGTAGCAAAGAGTCAGACATGCCTGAACATGGCCCAGTGACTAATAGAGCCCCAAACTCCTAGTGTTATGACTTGCAAAGTAAGAGTCTTAAGCCATGCCATCTTATTTTCTTCATTCATTTTTTCATTGATCTGTGAAAGTATTCATTTATTAGTGCCACCTATGTGCCTGTGAAGTGCTGTGCTAGGTGTAGTGCAGACAGTGACCAAACAACACAGATATTGCCTACAGCCAGTCTCCTGCGAATTTAAGGAATTCTGTGACTAACTCTTGTCCAGAATTGTGACTTCCTTTGTTTTGTCTCTGTTAAGGTCTTCAGGTCAGGTTACTCTTGGAGATGCTTGTTCTGCAAGTACTAGCCGAACAGTTACTATTCCTTCGGGGGAAAACCAGATCAATCAAATTTCACTAAACCCAACTGGGACTTTCCTCTATGCAGCCTCTGGAAATGCTGTCAGAATGTGGGATCTTAAAAGGTAGAATTTTAAAGAAAATGTACTTCCTGTATATGGCAAATGCAATTTTCACACATTAATATTAGTGCCGGTGCAATCTAATTTGTATAACCCCAGAAGTTAATATAAAATCCTAGATTTTTCTGTTTGATTCAGCACCCCTAAATGTCTTGTCTATCCTCATTAGCCCACTCAAAAGTTTCCTTTCTTTTAATCTCCATTGCTGGGGAAAAAAGTATATGAGAGAAAATAGATTTTATTAATACTTGTCTGTAAGTTGTATTGTGTACTAGGAAGACTGTAAAGACTGGGTTGTATTGTTTACAACTCATGCTAGTTGCATCAGTACCTTTGAAAGAATTATTTTTTGGTAACATCACTTATGCATTTTATATTTCAAAATTTTCAGGTTATAAACCTTATAAATTTGATCATAAGTCTTCACAGGATTTTTATGAATATAAAATTGTATATGTATATATGATGAAGTATTAAGAAGATGAAGTAAAAAAGAGAATATCATGCATTACATCTTTGATTTGATTTTTATTTGCCATGAAGTAGGAGTTTTCATCCTTCATTTGAGTGTTTATTTTAGATTTTTTTCTAGTTCTTAAAATGTTGGCAGCAAGGGAATATTTATTTATTAGTTAACAAATATTTACTCAGCATCAACTGTGGCAGGCATTATACCAACACTATGGTAGGTACTGGAGATATAGATTATGCAAGACAAATTTGATGTCCACCTTCTTAGAACTCATCTTGTAATGGAGAGTAAAAGCCACAAAGTAGGCAATTACAAGATTCTGAGTAAAGTTGGTAATTCAGGTAATAATCCCATGTAGAAGGGTTTTGTCAGTGATAAATCAAAGGGAAATTTATTTTAGAAATTTTGAGGGTAACTATTTATTACTTGTAACTTTGGCCACCTGATGCAAAAAGCTGACTCATTTGAAAAGACCCTGATGCTGGGAAAGATTGAGGGCAGGAGGAGAAGGGGACAAAAGAGGATGAGATGGTTGGATGGCGTCACCGACTCAATGGACATGGGTTTGGGTGGACTCCAGGAGTTAGTGATGGACAGGGAGGCCTGGTGTGCTGCGGTTTATGGGCTCACAAAGAGGTGGACACGACTGAGCAACTGAACTGAAGTGAACATTTTAATGGTTGGCTGAAAAAGTATAATAAGCATAACTTATAGATAAATAAATGAGAACAGAAAGAAGAACACAGTCATGAGTACCATTTTAGAAATAAAAAGTAGAAAGTTGAAAACAGTGTTTATTTAAGAAAATTTGGAATGTGATGAGAACTGGGTTTACTCTTTAAGATATTAAACTTGACTTGTATTCAGAATACCATGGAAGATGATACTCAACATCATGACATGAGGCAGAAAAGATACCAGCTTCTAAAAATTTTTACACTTTCTTATCTGCTGAAAAGTTAGATCCTTTGAAACTTGCTTGATTTCAGCAACATAATTAAATACAGATTAATCTTAATAAATTAACTATAAAAAAGAGTTACAAGAAATAGTAATATTCTAGAAGCCAAATATATCTCTGTATTCCAGCAGCTTGATTTGAGGTAGGATTATGAAGCAAAGGTTTATTGCCACCTCCTGACAATGGACATCACACGTTTTTCTACCAGTCGTATATATTCCTGGCCATTTTTATATCTTTGTAATAACTGATGAAATGGACTATATTTTCTGATATACACATATGTGCATATGTGTATGTATATAATGCATGTGTACATATATGTGTATATATGAAAATATATGTGTGTGTAATAAAATAATCTTACTTTCTCCAAATTTTTATTTTCTAATTATATCAGTGACATAGTTGTTCTAGTCAAATTTAAAACTGACCCTAATAAATCAATCATATGTCTATAATAGGTTGAGACATTTAACAGATTAAGGTTTATCTGGACTTAGGTTGGAGTTAAAATTAGCCCTAGGCAATTTTTTGGACTTTTGATGCTTTTTTGCTATCTGATTGACATCAGTCACTTTGGAATAACTTATTTAGGATTCCTAAACTTCCATCAGAGAATCAATTAATTTGGCTATTTTTTTACTCTTAATTTGAGGAGAGTTGCATAGAGGTGGAGTTAAATCAAAAAAGAACAGTTTTAGCAAAGACTGTTATTTTTGTTGAGACTTAGCCTCAGCATACTAAGAAATATTTTCAAACAAAATTGTTTTTCTTTCTTTTTAAAGGTTTCAGTCCACAGGAAAGTTGACAGGACATCTAGGCCCTGTTATGTGTCTTACTGTAGATCAGATTTCTAATGGACAAGATCTAATCATCACTGGCTCCAAGGATCATTACATCAAAGTGTGTATAATAAAGCTATTGAATTATGTTCTCCTATTAAATGATAAGTTTGAAGTATTCAGATGTACCTAGGATGCTTTTCTCTTAGTCAGTTCTTTTTTCTCATTTCTAGCCTGTTACTTTTTCTTCCTGATCTTTTCCTCACTCAGTTCCTGATTTTGTTGTCTTATTTGAAAATATATTCTCACTTTTTCATAGAGGATATGTTGGGAGGGATTTTAAAGACTTTTTTACCTCAGTCATCCAACTAATGCTTACATTTCATCATCACCATCTTTTATACTGAGCATGTTTGTTTCTTCATGTTTGCATACATAAAGTATACTTCATGTTTGTTTTACACAAGTAGCAGATAAGATGAGGAGAGATGAAAAGTTTGATTCTGGAGATGTTAAATTTGAAATACTAATAGAGGACCTCTTCATGTAAGCGAATATGACATTTGAAAGGCAAGTACAAAGTCCAAGATAAGTTATGACTAGACATATATGTTTCAGAACCATTCATATAGAAGCAGATGTTTAAGGAGTAGTTGATATGGCCAAAAGAGAAAGGTTGATATGACTTAGCCTTGGGGAATCCTGTAAGGACCAACAGGAACAAAAAGAGAATATAGGAATAAAGAGAGACAGAGTGTAAGTAATCTTTTTTTAGAAACTTTTGTTAGGAGATGAGAAGTGGGTTTGACTTGAAAATAGAATGGTTAATGCAAGAGGATTTTGTGTTGGTAGACTTGAGCATGTTTATATGGTTAGAAAATGGACTTAATGGAGAGGGAAAGTGTGAAGAGTGAAGTAGTAGCAATTGGTGAATCAGATCAAAAAAAGAATCTGATCAGATCAAAGATGTGAACCTTGAGAAAAAGTAAGTACACTTTAGTATCTTGAAAAGAAGGGAAGAGTAAGAGAATGTTTGAGAATAAAAGGGAACTTTTGTAACTGAGGGGGAAGGGTGGTCCAGAAAGTCTAGTTTTGGTTATACTAGACTTTTTAGGAACTCACAAGTTCAGTAGTTAAGAGAAATGAGGGCAACTGAGGGGAGTGAAATTGAGTAGCAGCTTTGGAGAATTTGTGATGACCACCAAGATTGCAGAGCTGCCTGATTGTGTTTAAATAACAATCATATCATTATATGTAACTTTTTTATTATTTAACATATCATTTGTACACTTATACATGAAAAAATTGCTTGTATTTCTTATGAGCTTACAAACATGTAAGCATATAACATGTGAAAATTAGGACTCAGGTTTATCCTGAGTCACTCGAAGAAAGTTATTTTTGTTAATATTTTTGTTAGTAAAATATCGTAACAAAACAAGTCACATTTGGTTAATATACGTGTGTACATGTTTCTATGAGTGAATACCTAAGGTGCTTATTTGTACATTAAATAGGATGACTACTTTAATTTTGCTTTTATTTAGATGTTTGATGTAACAGAAGGGGCGCTTGGAACTGTGAGTCCCACCCACAATTTTGAGCCCCCTCATTATGATGGCATTGAAGCATTAACCATACATGGGGATAACCTATTTAGTGGGTCCAGAGATAATGGAATCAAGAAATGGGATTTAGCTCAAAAAGATCTTCTACAGGTAATTCAAAACCTTTTCATGGGATGGAGTGGGTACTTCAAAGTCATCAGTATTCTAATAAGAACACAAAGAGTCTCTATGTAGATTTTCATCCTTTAAGGATGGTATCAATCAGGGCTTTCTCTTAAAGAGTGTCTCATTATTACCTACCAGAGTTAGTAATTATGAAAAGGGCAACATTAGACATTTAATGATATCTCATAGATAAGAGAAGGATAGACTCTGATAAGAATTGGAAGCTCTGGGATTGCCCTGTGCATGTGTTTACTAAATACAGGTGGAGTGAAGAAGTCAGTTTCTCATTTTGTTTTGTTTTTATGTACACATATTCCAAGGGCTTCCCTGGTGGCTCAGATGGTAAAGAATCTGCCTGCAATGCAGGAGACCCAAGTTTGATCCCTGAATTGTGAAGATCCCTTGGAGAAGGGAATGGCAACCCACACCAGTATTCTTGCCTGGAGAATTCCACGGACGGAGGAGCCTGGTGGGCTACCATCCATGGGATTGCGAAGAGTCGGACATGACTGAGCAACTAATACTTTCAATACTTCCACACATATTCCACAGAGTATCAAGTTTTGCTAGGGTCAAAGCAGTCTAAATGATTCTTCATCTCATTTTCATACATCCAAGAATGGTGGTTCTCTCATTTCCTATAGAATGATAGCTGGGTTGAAGTGTTTTGTCAGTATAATCAAATATCAGTAGCTTTTCCTAATTCCCAGAGGAATTGTTCTCAATTTCAGGCTTTTTCTTATAAATGTATGAGTGTGTATGTATGTATCGCAATTGCTCACACTTTTCTGCTTACAATCAGGCGGAAAAAAAAAACGAACAAGTAGCATGAATGTTAATAAAATAAAACTGGCAACAGGCACATATATTGCACTCAAAAGCTTTTCTTTTATAGATATACATTCTAGGATGTCTTTTATATTATATATATGAATATATATATATGCATAAAATGTGGTCATATAGTCTGAGCTTATAATTATTGTTTGTTGTTGTTTAGTCGCTAAATTGTGTCTGACTCTTTTACGACCCCGTGGACTGTAGCCTGCCAGGCTCCTCTGTTCATGGGATTTCCCAGGCAAGAATACTGGAGTGGGTTGCCATTTCCTTCTCCAGAGGATCTCCCTAACCCAGGAATCAAACTTGAGTCTCCTGGATTGGCCTGTGGATTCTTTACCATTGAGCCACCAAGGAAGCCCCTAAGTATTGTTTACTCATTGTGAAACATGTAGGTTAGCTCCAGCCTTCTTCAGAAAGCTATAGGCCTCTATGTTCTCTTCCAAAATTTAAGGCAGTGATTTTAGGAGACAGTCCTTATAGTCTACATACCAGGTTGTCGTTTTCAAACTTGTTGTGTGAGATACATTTTCTAGAAAAGTGAGATATTTACTCCTTTGAAGAGGAAGTGATGTTTGAAAAATTCAGTATACTTTCCATGTGTTTTAGATTCTATAGATTTTTTTTAACATTGTAGGCCTTCAGTACTGATAACACTGATGATAACTAGTGAATTAAATTGAGGAGCAAATTACAGATTTATCTGCTTAAATCACTAAGAGTGACTCCATAGGAAATAATTTTTATGGTTTCCAGACCAATTCAGTGTTCCAAGATTTGAACTTGTCAATAAAAACTTTGGTAACTTATTTTGGTGTGGAAATGTCAGTTTGAAAGGCTTCCCTTAAGCTGCTAATTTTTCTTTCTTCTCTCAGCAAGTTCCAAATGCACATAAGGATTGGGTCTGTGCCCTGGAAGTGGTGCCAGGCCACCCACTTTTGCTCAGTGGCTGCAGAGGGGGCATTCTGAAGCTCTGGAACATCGATACCTTTGTGCCAGCTGGCGAGATGAGAGGTCATGAGAGTCCTATCAATGCCATCTGTGCTAATTCCACCCACATTTTTACTGCAGCGGAGTAAGTTTCTCCTGTTGGTTACTTGTGTTCAGATTCAATAAAGACTATAGGTTGTAAATGTAGAACATATGAAATCTTTCTTTTGTTACAGCTATTCCAATGTCTATTCATGATGTCTTATTTATATTTTCTGAGATGCGCTGTGGTCACCGAGTTTGGGCTCCCCAGGTTATATGATAATAGTGTTACTGCTGTATCAGCTCTCTGCTTCGACTAGGAAGTCCGCTACCAGATCTTCCTGTAGCAGTTTTAATTTTTAAAAAATCTTTCAGAAGTGATTCATTTCTAAATTGTCTTTCCAGAAAAGGCAGCAAACTTGCCTCATTCTTCACATTTAGACCAAATCATAAAAAAAAAAAAACTCTTTTATGCCTCTTCCACCTCCTTTAAGGTCTAAGTACATAGTAATAATATATACTCCCTCCCTCTTAGAATGGCTGAATTGATTAATTTATTTGCTCATTTGCTTATTCATTATGAATCTCCTGTATGCCAGGCACTGTTCCAGAATCTTAGGAATAGAGAATTGAACAAAACAGATATAAATCCTAATTTCATTGTAAGGAAAAGAAAGCAAAATGAATAAGTAAAATATGTTACATGGTAAGAGATCTACGGAGAAAAAGAAAGCAGGGAAGGGAGATGAGAGCATCACTGGGGAACAGGGCTTCCCATAGAGTGGACAATGAAGATCTTACTTTCTCAGTGACATATAGGAAGATGCTTGAAGAAGGTGTAGAGATGTGACTATAAAAATGACATCATGTGTATTATATCATAATACATTATGCATAAGTACTTTTGGAAAGGAAATCATGTACTATAATGTGAGGTGTTCATCTCATTCAAATAAAATGCAATTTTTCATGAAAATCTCCTTATGTCATTTGTGTACCAATTATGTTACTTTATTTATTGAGCCATTTCTTGATTCATCTGTCCTAAATACACAATTATCCTGATTTTATTTTGAAACTTCTGCTAAATTTCTGTGGTGTCTCTTTTTATTTGTGCTGTTTCCACTGAATCCCTTGTCTCATTTAAATTTACTTTCTCTCATCTCTAAAATACATCAGAGCAGATTTCTTTTGTGTTTTTCTAAGATGCTTACCTTAAATGCTTCAATGATGCTATTTCTGAGATACATTACTTTCTTAAGTTTCATCACTTTTACTTATTCCCTTAAAAGCTTGTTTTGTCCTTGACAATTCATGGGAAATAATACCCCTCATAGCTGTGGGACACTATAAAATTGTTATGACTCACTGAGGTCTGATCACTGAGGTATGATGTAATATTTTTCTTCCATGATACAGTTTTATTTTTGAGAAACTAAAAATGTCCTCACTTTACCCAAGGTGCATCCGATGCAGATGTATTTATTTACCATGTAACATAAAATCAGGATAATAACCAATAAAATCAGAAGGCCTATTTTCAAATTAGTTCTATTTATTCATTACCTAAGAAACCTTTATATAGGACTTAGTATCTACCAGACATTGTTCTAAGTATTTTCAGGCATTAACTCACTTAATCTTCATAAGAACTCTAGAAAATGAGTATTATTGTAATCCCTATTTTATAGGTGGGAAAACTGAGGTACTTTATAATTCACAGTCCTTGTATAAGTGATTCTGTCATATATGATTTCTGGATCTGTTGCATTGATTGATTTTTCTTATGATTATAGGTCTTATTTTTTCTGATTTTATGTCATGGAATATTTTATTGAATCTTGAACATTGTAGTGTTGTGTTTTGAGTATCTGGATTTTGTTTTATTCCTTTAAAGACAGTTAGGTTTTATTTAAAGTTATGTAAGTTACCTGTGGTTCAGCTCATCTTTTTGAGACTTCAACTCTGGGGTTTTTACTGAATGTCTTGAATGTTTGATGCTATTCTCTACTTTACTGGTCAAAACTTGACTCACAGCTGTGTTTTGGTCTGGCCGTACAGTCTGACTTGACTCTTGTACGGCTTAGCCTTCAGTCAAAGACCTTAGGGGACCCCTTTGTATGTAGATTGATGGAATGTTTTTCCCTGTAACTCCATAGTCCTTTTTGCATAGCTCTCCCCTCTTCTCTGTTTGGTTTTACAAATTACAGCTATTTCACACTTCCCAGATTTTTATTTCTTTTCAACTCTAATTCTGAGGTCTTCTGTTTATTTCCCCTCTTCCTTGCTTAGTGCGGCAAGTGCTTCCAGACCGAAAGCCAGGGCTGTCACAGAGCTCACCTTCTCTTGTTTCCCTTTTCTCAGGAATTATAGGCCTAAAGTACCCATCCCCCAGTTTCTGAAAATAGTTGTTCCATGTATTTCGTCAAGTTTTCACTTTGTGTTAACTCACAGGAGCATCAACCTGGCACAAGTTACTCTAACATGACTAGTAGTGGAAGTTTGCTCATCTTAGATTTTGTATGTCCAAAGCTGAACTCCCAGTCTTCCTAAGAAACCTGCTCATCCTATGCCCTTCTCCATGTCAGCTGATGGCGTCTCTTTTTTTTTCTGTTGCTCAATTCATTCCTCCCTTTCTTTCATACATATCCAATTCATAAGCAAACTATATTGGTATTCTACCTTTACATTGCATCTAGAATCTGACTACTTTTCACCCTGCCTTTTGTTACCTCACTGACCCTAGATGTGCTCTTGGATTATTACTACAATAGCCTCCTAAACAGGGCCCCTTGCCCATATGTAGCCTATTCTCAAACAGACACCAGAGTAATTTTTTAAAATTTTTAAAAATTATGATCATCTTGTTTTTCTCTGCTCAAAAACTTGTGTTGGTCATCCATTTTATCTAAAGTAGAGGCTGTACTTGATCTAAACCCTTTGAGCATTTGTTCTCTCTCGTCTTAACCTTCTAATACCCTCTAGCATGCGCCTTCTCTTATAGCACTGATAATATCTTTGCTGGTCTTGAACATAGCAGGCTTACTCCAGCCTTAAGACATTTGCCCAAAGTGCCTTCAGAGATCATGATCTTCTAACATCTTTCTTTCTCAGTAAGAATAACCCTGTGATTTTATTTAAAATTGTAATCTTTCTTATCACCTACCACTCCTGATCCTGATCCCCTTTGCCATACTCTTTAATTTTTCTGACACATTTATTACTTTCCAATAAAGTATATAATTTTTATCATGTTTTATTGTCTGTCTTCTTTTGCTTGAATATATGATCTACAAAGGCATAGGATTCTGCTATTCATTTATTTTTAATTGATCCCAAACCCATAGAATAATGCCTGGGACACTGCAAGTTCCCAATAAACATTTGTTGAGTGGATGGTTGAATGAATAAACGGAATGGATAAATGGGTAGACAAGTGAACATAACCCCTTGCTGTTTTCAATTATCTGTGCTGTGTGGGCTGGTGAAAGATTATTATTTTCCCCCAGTTTTATTGAGATATAATTGACATAATAACACAGTTTAAGGTATAACAGTATAATGACTTGATTTACACATATAATGAAATGATTACTGTGGTAAGCTTAGTTAATATCATCATTTCATGTAAGTTTAAAAAATAGAAAAAAATGTGATTTTTCCCCCCATGTGGTAAGAATTAGGGGTGAGAAAATTATTGATTACAAACTAGAAAGCCTGGACTCTAGGCTCAACTCTGTCTTCTGCAATGCTACAATGACAAGTCACTAAACCTTCTACATCCTCAAAATGTGCTACATAATCTTTGAAATGCTTTTAAACTATACAGTTTTGTGGCAACTCTTTCTTTTGGCTTTGGGCTTATTAAAAAATTGGAGAAAAGCAACACTGTCTTTCTAGAGCTAGGAGAAATATAACTGTCTAATGACTAGTACCCAGAAGCCACATGTTAGGTGAATAAAAGTTAAGTCTTCTCAGAAATGCATTGAATCATCTATGTTCTATGATAAGTAGAGTGATTGCCTAATCCCTAGTAGCTTATGCTGATTTCACCTGAAAGTGAGTCTTCCTGAATATTGACAGATTCACCAACCCTCTGGAATCCCTGCCCTGGCCTCCTCACTGTGCTCTTGCTCTGGGCTCTTCTGCCTGAGACCTCTGACCGTGTATACTGACTGGATCAATGTAGCTTCAGTGTAGCCTCTGCGGGTTTCAGATCCTGACGCTTTCACTTACTTTGTGATCTTGGGCAGATTTTTATTTTTTTGGCTGCACTGCGCAGCATACATAGCGGAAGGGTGAAGTCTTAACTACTGGACCCCCAGGGAAGCTTGATCTCAGGCAAATTAGTTAACTTCTTTGGACCCCAATTTGCTCATCATAAATAGGGTATAATGGCATTATCTGTATCTTATGGTAGGTAAAGAGAATAAAATGCGTTAATGTGTGTGAGGGGAACATAATAACAACACCTGGCACATAGTAACCCTTTGATAATATAAACTATTTTTAATTTCATTATTATGGGTACCTATTTGATATACCTATGGGAAAATGTATTTTTATCTATATCTATTAAAGACCTTTTCTGTAAATGTTTCTTGATAAGTATTTCTAAGAACTGTGTCTTTCCATCTGTTTTCACATGTTCATTTTTAATTTATTATTTTGTAGTGATCGAACTGTGAGAATTTGGAAGACTCGAAATTTGCAAGATGGTCAAATCTCTGACACAGGAGATTTGGGGGAAGATATTGCCAGTAATTAAACATGAATGAAGATAGTCAGAAACTGAATACTGTGATAATACTTTATCGTCTTTATGGAAAATGTTGTCCTGCATTTATTAGGCAAAAACTTGTGAATGGAGTTAACTGGAAAATATATATGAATCCAACTACTGAATATAAATGGTATTCTAAAAAAATTGTGTACTCTATGTGCTAAATTTTAATATCTATCAATGCATATATAACCTATAATTAATATACTGCTTGATTCACACTTTTATTGTGGCTGGATTTTTGTGCCTATCTATAAAAAACATCTTCAAATTATCTTAAATGCAAAATGTCTGCTTTTGTGACAGAAAATACACTTAGAATACAATGCCACCCACTGTTATCTCATTCATATAGTCTGTTCGGCTGATTTACATATTTGAAGCTAATGGGAATGTTAGTCAAACATTGGTTTGTCTGGTATTTATGTCAGTCTACAGAGGGTTCCCAAATTTAAAAGCTCTTTTAATGTAACGAAAAAGATGTGAGAATATTATTGATGGTGATTTTTCATAAAATGGATTTGACTTTAATCTACTAACAAAGAATGTTAAACAGATTGTGTTAGATGTTGACATTTACTTGTATTGACCAAAGTTTTGCAGTGCTATTTTGTGTGCTCAGGACTAAAATGCTGTTAAATTATTTTATTAGTGCTGTGCATACATTCTGTGATGGGAAACATTTTTGATGTCCTAACAGAAATATATTTCGATCTATTTTCCTATGGAGTTGTTTCTATTATCCACCTTTCCGTTTCATTTTTATTTAATAGTAGTATTTCTTTCCCTTTTAATCTAATTTTTATATGCTGCTAAATATATTTTAATTATACTGTGTTTGCAAACCTTGGTAGCTATGATGAGAACCTTATCATCTGCAGTGGGAAAAGCTATGTAAATAGGTAGACTGTAAAGAGAGAATGTCTTATGTTGTAACTATGAATTTTAAATGCTGTAGATTGGATTTTACAAAAGGATGTATAATTTATGCCTGCTCAGAATATTAATTTGTAAATTCTGCAAGTTTAATTTTTATGTGAGTGACATGACACTTGAAAATATTGTCCTGTGATCTTTTCCCCAAAAAATATTTGCTTGTAAATGAAAGCTTTGCTAGGGCTTAAATAAACATGTTGCTATGAATAATTTTATTCTTTTGTTCTTTTCCTAATAGCATGAAAATGGGCAGTGTTTATAAAAGTTTATTTTATCTGTGTGATTTAAGGAAAGGCATCTTTTTGCTATCCAGCATTACACATACATTCCTTTTTTGTTGTTGTTGTTCACTATCAAAGAATCTGCCTGAAGTGCAGGAGACCCAGGTTTGATCCTTGGGTCAGGAAGATCCCCTGGAGAAGGGAATGGTTACCCACTCCAGTGTTCTTGCCTGGAGAACTCCATGGACAGAGGAGCCTCGTGGGCTACAGTCCATGCGGTCACAAAGTGTCAGACATGACTGAATGACTAACACACACAAGACGTGAAATATTCTCGAAAAGTGTAAACCATAATCTAATCTGGAGGAACCAAGGAAACTGACTGTTTAAAGGAATTAAACTATATAGTTCAGGGACTTGGACATAGATGATTAAACAAATAAAAAATATCCCCATAAAGATTAGGATAATAGCAACCTTGGTTACTTGGAGAGGAAATGCAAGGCAGGTATTGCAGGAGGTGAGCTGGGAGTGCAGAGGGATATGGTGGTGGTGGTTGTTCAGTTGTTTAATTATGTCCAACTTAATGGGGAGCTACCCTCTACCAGTCACTGCCTCTCTTACTTTTTAGTCATAGAAGTCGGGATTTTGGCTGAACACGTGGCTGTGCAGACAGATTACATTTCCCCCTAACCTTGTAGTTCACCACGGCAATATGCCAGGTTTCTGGCCATGTGATTCAATGGGGTGTGATACATGAAACGTCTGGTCTTAGTTTAAAAAAAAGAAGTGCTTGACATTTACTTTAACTGTACCCTTTGCAATGACTAGGATGTGGAAATAGTGGTAATGTACTAACCTTGACCATACAGATGAAGATGACATCCTGGGTGAGGGGTAGTAGAGCAATATGATAGAATAAATCTGAGTCCATGAATGACCTTGTGGCACAGAGTTTCTTTCTTGTCTTGGAGCATCCAACAACCTTTATGCTAGGGGTCAGCAAATTTTTTTCATTTCAGGTTTTGTAGGCCATATATTTCTCCTTTCATACATTTGATTTTTTGTTTATTATCTGTTTCCTTACCAGCCATTTAAATATGTAAAATTCTTAACTTGAGGACCATGCAAAAAGAGGTTGGGCACCAAATTTGGCTCATAGGCTATAATTTGCTAAACTATTATATGAGAGAAAGATAACTTGTATCTTTTTTGAGTTACTGAATTTTAAGATCCTTTGTTAAAGCAGTCCAACCAATAAGGCATATAGCTACATGTACATGTAGCTACACATATAGCTACATAGAGCTTAAAAAAAATAGGCTCTAGAAAAGGTTTTTTGTACAGAGGGAGTGTCTCAGGGCTACCAAACATAGTTGCACAGATTGTGCACTGCACAACTAAAGAGATACCATTCACTTTTAGACATGATCAATTTATACATTTGTTAAAAGTTTAGAGTAGATGACATTAAGTCATTTGTTCTTAAAAGTAAAATACTACAATGATAATTTCAGCATATGGAAGAAAAACTATGTTACAAAAGGCATCTTTTTCTAATTTGAACAAGGGGTGCCTATGGCCTAGTGCACTTTAATGTCCACTCCTTGTTATGTAAGGCCACTAAAAAATAATGATTTTCTTTCCATAAAAATTATTAGTAGCTCAGGAAACTCTGGCTTCATGTAATTTTTCATTAAAATTTCAAAATTTTAAGTACCACAATATTTTCTTTCACATACCTTTTTTAAAAATGTGATAAAAATAGCTGTTTGAATGGAAAGATTTGGGTGAGATTGCATGTTAATAGTTTATCTATGACTAGTAACCAATTGTTCTGTGAACAATTGAATTTTTTTATGAGAATTTTATCTAATACCGATTTTATGTCGTCTCGGGATCCCACGTGGCGGCATGGCAGCCACTGGGCAGGGCACTCTTGCTTCACTTGCTTTCTCTCCCCTCCACTAAGATGCTAAAAAGTCCGCACATGTGCACTTGGACACTGTGTAACTTTTGTACTTGCTTGCCTCCTCCATGCATACCTAAAGGCCAAAAGGAAAGTGAAAACTGAGTATAAACACATAAAAGATCCTAAGCCTGGATCTAGTAGTTACCACTCTTTTTTTATTGCAGTTTAGTTGAGATATAATTAACATTTAGCACTGTTTAAGTTCAAGATGTACAGCATAATGATTTGAGTTTTATATATCATGGAGTGGTTATGACAGTAAATTTAATGAACATCATCCATAATCTTGTATAGATACAAAATTAAACAAAAAAATTTTTTTCCTTTTGATGAGAACTTTTAGGATTTGCTGTCTTAACAATTTTCATACATAGCATATAACAGTTTTAACTATCTGTTGTATATTACATTCCTAGTCCTTATTTATAAGTGGAAGTTTGTATATTTTGTACAAACTTTATCCAATTCCCCCTCTCCCTAACCTCATCTCTAATAATCACAAATCTGATCTCTTTTCTATTGTTTGTTTCATGGGGAATATAGTTGACCTACAACACTATGGGTATGCGCGTGCTAAGTTGCGTCAGTCGTGTCCAGCTTTTTGTGACCCCATGGACTGTAGAGTCTATCAGGCCCCTCTGTCCATGGAATTCTGCAGGCAAGAATATTGGAGTGGGTTGCCATGCTCTCCTCTAGGATATCTTCTAAACCCAGGGATCAAACCTGAGTCTCCTAAATATCCTGCATTGACAAGTGGATTTTTTACCACTAGCACCAGCAGGAAAGCCCGTACAATATTGTACTAGTTCCTATTACACAGTATAGTGATTTCATATTTCTATACACTTCAGAATGATCACCATGATATGTCTAGTTGCGATCTGTCATACCAAGATATTACATAATTATTGACTATATCCCCGTTATTATTTGAAATTTTAATTTCAAATTAATTTGAAATGTTAATTGTTAGTATTATTTGAAATTGATTTGAAATTGGAAGATTATACCCCTTATATCTCCATCACTTATTTCTTTCCTCCCTGATCCACCTGCCCTCTGGCAACTGCATTTTTGCTCTATATATCTGCAACTATTTCTGATTTGTTTTGCTTGTTCATTTGTTTTGTTTTTTTAGGTCTCCCATATAAGCAAAATCATACAGTACTTGTTTTTCTCTGTTTGACTTATTTCTCTTAGCATAATACCTTCTAGGTCCACCGAAGCTCTTTCAAGTGGCAAGATTTCATTCTTTAATATGGCAAGTGTATATATATACACACACACACATATCATGTCTTCTTTACTCATTCAATTATCAATGGGCACTATGGTTACTTTCATATCTTGGTTACTGTATATAGTGCTGCAATGAACACCAGTGAGCATGTATATTTTCCAATTAATATTTTCATTATCTAGATACATACCCAGTGGAATTGTGGCATGATATGGAAGTCTTATTTTTAATTTTTTGAGCCCCTTCCATACTATTTTCCATCGTGGCTATGTCAATTTACATTAGGACCAAGCGTTCCCTTTTTGCCACATCCTCACCAACCAAAACTTTCTACTTGTTATCTTTTTGATAATAGCCATTCTGACAAGTGTGACATATCATATTGCAGATTTTACTTTACATTTATTTGGTGATTATTGATGCTGAGCATCTTTTCATGTGCCTGTTGGCCATCTGTATTTCTTCTTTGCAAAAATGTCTATTAGATCCTTTACCCATTTATTAATCAGGTTATTTGTTTTTGTGATATTGAATGGTATGAAATTTTTGTATTTTTTGGATATCAACTCTTTATCAGATATTTTGTTTGTAAATATCTTCTCCCATTCATTAAGAG